GAGGGAAGGAAGAAAATGTAAAAAAAAAAAAAAAAAAAAAAAAAAAAAAAAAACCAGAAGGAGAATGTGACAATGGGAGAAAGAGAGACACGGCCAGGGAAAGCAGACGAACAGAGGCTCGGTAAGAAACAGACAGAGCTTGGAACAGCGGCTTGGAACACACTTGACAATGATCTATACCAGCCCATCGTACAGCGAGAGAGCGCTCACGATCGTCTCATCCCGTTTACTGCCTTCCTTGAACTCCTCCATATCCAGACTGCCGTTCTCGTCTTTGTCCATCATGCGGAAGATCTTGCGGACGCGTTTTTCGGGGGTGTCTTCGTCTTCGGGGAGTTTGACCATTGAGCCGACCTACAGTTTCAGAAAAATAAATTAGCAAGATGGATTGAAGAAAGTTGGTAGGAGGAACCGAGCAAGCCCCTCCCTGCCGAGAGAACGAAAAGGAAAGAGGAATGGATACGCACCATCTTATAGATCGCCTCCACAATCGCCAGCATCTCCTCGTACGTGATCTTGCCATCTCCATCGATATCGTACAGCTGGAACGCCCAGTCCAGCTTATCCTCCATCTTGCCGCGGGAGGTCACCGAGAGCGCGCAGATGAACTCCTTGAAGTCGATCATGCCGCTGTTGTCCGAGTCGAACACGCGGAAGACGTAGTTGGCGAACGAGGAGGGGTCGCCGAAGGGGAAGAACTGGCGGTAGATCTTTTGGAACTCCTCCTTGGTGAGGGTGCCGGAGGGGCAATCTTTGAGGAAGCCTGTTTTTCAGTAGTGGGATTGTTAGTTGGGTATTCTATTGTGTCTTGCTGCGCTTGGCCTTTGGCGTTCTCCGCCCTTCTTTTCTTCTCTTTCTTTTATGGAGTATATACTGGCAATTACAAACATTACTCACCTTTATACCACTGCTGCAATTCCTTCTTATCGAAATGCGTCGCCTTCTGGAGTTCATCCAGCTGAGCTGGGGAGAGTTTAGATTGTCTGCAACTCGCAAGTTAGTTTCCCAGGCACAAGCACAAGCACTAACACCACCACCCCTGCTGCGTTGTCGCGAGCGTCGTTATCGTCCTCGTCCTCGTCAACCAAGGATTGACGCACGCCCGGCCGGGGGTTGCATGAGCAGATGCAGAGGGGTTAGATCAACCGAAGTTCCTCTCGCAGCTCACGTCACATATCTCGCTGAGATACTTGGCAAACTGCGCAGAAAAATTCGTGCTGATTCATCGCCGCATCCGCGGCGGCATGCGGCATTGCTCCGTCTTCTCACTCCACCCCCCGACCCTTGGGAAAACAGCGCGGGCGGGCGGGCCATAGGAGCGCATCACTTACGACTTGCCCATTGTCAATTATGCGGACCACCACGAAGTCTATTCCAATTTCTGAGAGGGTGTGTCAGGGATGCGTGCGCAGAGGGGTTGGCGCAGAGGAACGGCGAGGATAGACACGGAGGTTCGGAGAGCGCGGGGTAGTTGCAGTGGGTGGTGGGACCGATAAGAGTGAGTAGTGTGTGTGTGTGTGTGGAAGGGACCGAGGCTGTGGGCGGTGGTGTAGTAGTAGTAGTGGTGTATGATGGTGTAGTGTAGTGTAGTGTAATGTATGAGAGTGTAGTGTATGTATGTGGTGTATTGAGTGAGTGAGTGGGAGAAACCAGAAGTCAAACAATCAAAGAGAAAGAATACGACTTAATTAGAAATGTGGCGACGAGTAGGACGACGACGCCCGAGGATCGAATCGGTGATGCTTCATCGTCAGCCCCCGAGCCGCCGGTCCAGAACCTCTGCGGCCTTGGCGATTGTCGCCTTCTTCTTCCGACTCTTTTGTCATCGCCATCCACTCTCCACCGTAAAACAACTATCCACTGCAGCCCTTCATATTATTGTACAAATGATAGGTTACTTCGAGTCCCCCCGACATCGCTCTTCTCAGAATGCCAATCCCCCGTTTCGTATGTACAGCCATCCCTCCCAAAAACATCACAACAAACACCTGCACACGTATGACAGAAACAGAAAACAAGAAAAGAGACTGCCGCTTTACTTCGGGATATCAGAGACAAAGAACCATGACAACTACCTCATAAAATAAACAAAAGCAACCCCGCCGTCAAGCCTACGAGGTATGGAAAGGGTTATCCGGCGGAGTTCATACCATTGTCCCAGGGCCTGCGAAAGTCTAACGGTGACGGAGGGGGGGATAATAATAGCAATCATACCCCGGATGAGGCAATGGAGGAGAAGTGGTTTTTCCGTTGGCCAGGCCCAGCAAAAGACGCCTCGGTGGCTCCACAGGGAGCGGGCCGAGTTGACGACGCGGTCAACTAGTGTGCGAGTAACTGCAAAATTTCTAGTCGACCTTGATCGAGCCGTAAATGCGCTGCACAAACGCCCAGCTGGCGAAAAACCCAATCGAGCCTATCAACCAAGGGTCAGCTCAGCACTGGCTCAGAGGGAGACGAGAACCAACATACCTGTCAGAATAAAAACCACGAAGCCGATCAAGGCGGAGTAGCCGATGTACAGAACAGCACCCGTGAGGCCACCAAAACTGACTCGCGTAATCCAGAACAGCAGAGCGTTCAGAAACACGTACACACCAGTCATTCCCGCTCCGGCAAACGCCCTCCAGTGCCACCGGTAGTTCTCCGCACAGAGCAGGAAATACACCAACAGAACGGTCGTGGCAGCCGAGGTGATTACCATCAGGCCATAGCAGAGGAACAGAAATCCAAACATGTAATAGATCTTGTTGGTCCAGAGCGAAGTCATGATGAAATAGAGCTCCACAAAGATCGCTCCAAAGGGCAAAATGCCGGTCAACAAGAGCGACGGAATTGGGCGGAGCGTCCCAGTCATGGGCGGCACTTGGCGCGGGATTTGGTTGGTCTTGGTTGGACCCTCGATGGCCTAGAAAATCATCAGCCAGACTCGCAATCGGCAAGATCGGGAAATGGCCTACCTGTTGTTTGAATCCCAGCCAGCTACCCGCCACGCTGAGTGGCACACTGATGACGAACCAGATTAGGACCAGGGCAAGCATGGTCGTGAAGGGCACAGCTCCACTAGAGCCCTTCGCCCACACGAAGAGGTTGAGCAGGAAGAAGGTGCCGAAGATGAGGGCCGGAACCAGCACGGGGGTCATGATAATATTGCGCTTCCAAGCATCTCCGCCCAAAGACTTGTAAACACGGGCTGAGACGTAGCCTCCGATGAAGCCGAAGAGAGTGTATATAATCAGGATGGCCGTCGCGAGGAAACCACGGTTGGCAGGGGAAAGGAGACCGAAAAGGGCAAACACTAGACACCAGGGTTAGTACTACTATGACATTTCGACCGATATCGCTGCAACGTACCAACGGTGACCCCGGTCATCATGAAAAGCTGAGCTCCATTGCCCACGAGCACACTCAGCAACAGGGGTGCCTTCGGGCATCGAAATACATCGCCGTGAACCAACTTCCAGCCCGAATCCTCCTGGATACCGTCTTCCACTGCTGCCGAGGTGCTGTCGAAGTCGTCCAGGTTGATCATGTCGAGTCTGTTGTACCGAGCGATATCCTTCTTCAGCGCCCGAATCAGAATCATGCTCACCATACCCACCAAGAACACGACGAAGACGGCCGAGTTGATTAGAGAGAACCAGTGGATCTTGGGATCGTAGACGTGTAGATACTTATCCCAGCGGGTTGCCCACGGGGTAGACGACTCGCGCCAGTAGACACTGTAGGTCCAAGCCACGGTCGTCTCGCCCTCCTCGTTCAGCACAACGCCGGTGCCGTCCGTTTCACACTGCGCAGTGCCATCTTCCAGGACCTGAGCATTGCGCCGAGACTCGGGTTGCACAAGCACACCCACGACCCGGTACTTGCCCTGGGCGCCGTATCCGACACGGTGGAAGTCGATCAAGATTTCGAAGTGATTGTTCAGGACCGGGACCCCGTCATCATTGATGGAGCCGAGCGCGAATCCTGGGCTGTAGAATTTGTCCTGGTTCACGGTTTCGATGTTGATTTGGGCTCCGGGAAGGCCGTCAACCAGCCAGTTGATGTTGTATCCCTGCTCGATCCTCCGGTTGACAAATTTCGCGCTGCGGGCGTCAAACGTGACCGCGCCACAGACGGCCTTGCAGGTTTCATTCTTGCCCATATGCAGCTCGAGCGGCGAAGTCTGGATGCGGTCTCCGAAAAGAATGGAGCCCAAAGATTCCCGCACATCCTTCGGTCCTCCCTCGGGAGCGCAGAATTTGAAGGCCGGATGATAGTAGTCGTAGGAGAATACCGAATGCAGCTGCTCGTCCTGCTGCGCGAGACCCGGAGTGAGGTGGTTCACATACAGCGGCACTGACTGACCCTCATCGTACGAGGTCGGTGCTACACCGGGCAAGTAGAAAGCGGCGGACAACGAAGGTGCAGAGACGAGAAGCGCGGTAAGAGGTAAGGCTCGATTGCTGAACCACATGGTGGGCGATTCTGAAAGGTAATGGGCAGGATTAGCTCGTGCCGGTGGCTTCGGAAAGGCCAAGAGATAGATGCTCGGGACCGGGGCCTAGCCACTGCCGATAGTAGCTTTGGGAGTCGAACTTACAAATCTACAGCTTCCACACCACAGGTGATCCTGACAGTCGCGCGAGTTGGCCGCTCGGAGAACAGTAGCAGGTACCAACTCGAAGGGTGGTTCTGCGGACGCCTTATATATAGGGAGAGAAGGAGAGAGAGAGAATTGGACCAAGCCGAGCTGTTCCCAGAACGGCGGGAGCCTCGTCACTTGCATCCGTTGTTGAGGCCAGCTCGCCGGTCTTGGCGCACGTGACTGAAACTGAACGCATGCACAATGTAGATTAGTTATGCTCATGCATGACTAAGCTGCAGTGACAATCGGCACGTGTCGATAAGCCATCTCTAAAAATTTCCCTTCGAAATCTTTCCGCGGCCGACCAAACCACAAGACCAAACCACACACATCAAATCACAATGGCGGTGGCAGTCTCGCAAACCGCGCCTTCGGGCTTACAGAATGTCTCTGCTCTGCTGGAGACCCTGACCACCTGTCTAAATAACACCGGCTCGTCTCTTCCCAAGGCCGAGCGGGAATCTCCCTCGGATGTGTCGATCGAACCGCCGCAAGACGGCATCTCGCTTCTCGACACCAAGTCCGACCTACTCCTGTCCTACCTCCAGAACCTCGTTTTCCTGATCATCTTTCAACTGCGTGGCCTCAAAAAGGATGAAGAGGATGATGTCGATGAGTCGCTTCCGGAGGATATCATCAAGAAGCTCGTCGAGCTACGCGTCTACCTGGACCGCGGTGTCCGCCCACTGGAGGGAAGATTGAAGTACCAGGTGGACAAGGTCATCAAGGCTGCAGAGGATGCAGAGAGAACCGAGCATAGCGCCGCCACTACGCGCAAGAGCAAGAAAATCAAGGGCTCCGACGACGAGGAGTCCGGATCGGAGGGGAGCAGTGAAAGCGAGGGTGACAGCGAGGAAGATGACGAGGGGGAGGGCGATGGAGAAGATATCGATGAGATGGCCTACCGGCCCAACGTCTCCGCCTTCTCGAAGAGAGGGGAACCACAGACCGCGAAGGTCGACAAGTCCAGCAAGCAACCCGCCAGCGATGGTATCTACAGACCGCCCCGGATCATGCCTACCGCCTTACCCACGACCGAACGGAGAGAGCGCCGCGAGCGACCCGCCCAGCGCTCGAATGTCATTGACGAGTTCGTCAGCGCCGAGATGTCGTCCGCTCCGATGGCGGAGCCTAGCATTGGTAGCACGATTGTGCAGGGTGGCCGGCACACGAAATCGAAGAAGGAGCGTGAGAGAGAGGCCGAGCGGACCGCATACGAAGAGACCAACTTTGTGCGCTTGATGAAGGAGAGCAAAAAGGACCGTGCCAAGCGGCTCCGCGCCGAGGGCCCACAAAACCAATACGGTGGTGAGGATTGGCGGGATCTCACGGCGGGAGCCGATCGGATCACGAAACTTACGCGGAGGGCTAAGGGCAGTGGAGGGGCGTTGGATAGGAGTCGGAAGCGCAAGACTACCGAGGACGGGCAGCGTGATGATGGGGTGGGAGTGGGTCAGATCTTTGAGAAGCGGCGCAAGAAGGTTGATAGCTGGAAGCGGTGATTGTACAGTACCATTTTTTTTTTTTTGTTCTATTGTTTGAATATTCTAGACAACACTCGATACCATGAAAAGTTCTGATTTTTGCGTTTATTATAATGTAACCGAGTGGGAGTGAACGACAATCCGAGATCCGGGAATTTCACATGCACGCCAGCGGTGACATCATCCGTCATCACTGCAAGTCACCACCTCTGCCTATGGAAGTACATTTAAATCCTCTCATAACCCGCATCCTCCCAGACAAGGCACTTTACTAGGATAGTAGATACCTACTGACTGACACCCTTAATCATTCACCATCAACTCAATCAGCACCGCCAACATGGAAGACCCAAGTAAGTCATAAATCACTAACATCACCACCGCCAACTAATTCACCCCAACAGCCTCCGAGATCACCACCATAATTCACCACCTCACGCAGGGTAGCCCGCAAGACCAAGAGCGCACCATTCAGAAGTTCTTCACCCCGTCTGCCTCTTTTGTGCACCCCTTCTGCCGCGTGTGGAGCTCTCCGGGCAGCCGGTGGTTCATTGAGAAGATTTATCAGTGGTACAAGATCATGTCTCCGAGGATTGAGATGGAGGTGCAATCTGTTGGTGAGTTTAGCCCTCCTCCTTCCTCCCCTATAGCCCTGGCCTTAGCCTATAGCCCTATAGCCTAGAGCTTCAGAAACAGCTCTAGAGACAGCTCCCCTCCCCTGTATTCCAACCAATCCAAACTAACAATGAAAAAACCCCCCAAGCATACGACAAACCCAGCCAAAAACTCTACCTAACCATGTCCCAAATCTTCTCCATCTGGCTGGTCCCCTTCCACGTGGCCCCCGTCACGCTGACCACCGTCCTGTCCCTAACCACCGACCCGGAAGACGGACGGACCCCGCTCCAAGGGTCCGGAAAACGCTACTACATCAAAAAGCAAGAGGACTTTTATCAACCCTCCGAGTTCATCAAGTTTGTGCTGCCCTGGGGCATTGGGCAGTTGCTTGTGCTGGCGGCGCAGACGTGGGCGACGCTGTTCTGTATCGTCGGATGCGCGGTGTTTTGGCCGCTGGTGTGGTTGGAGGAGAAGGGGGTGGTGCCCGGGCGGGTGCTGCGGAAGGGGAATCTCGGGGGGGATGTGGTGGGGTGGGAGAAGAGGCGGTTTTTGGGGGTGAATGGGTGCGATGAGGATCAGGATCAAGAACAACGGGGTAAGAATGGTGGGGAGGGGAAGAAGGTCGAGTAAATCAACTGGGTTGCGTTGCTTTTGATTGTAGGATGGATGACTGACGGAAGTGTATCGTAACTAGTTATATCAGACGTGATTTTGTGCGACTATTACTTCAAGTTGAATGGGGCAAGCACAATGAAAACTTATGTTCTTGATGATGATAAGTAGGTACTAGTACACAGGTTAAAGCTATAGTTATAGTACAAATGTATGCAAATGAATGTCAAGAAGTAGACTGGTCTGAATCCCCCACACTGACCATCATCATCCTCTAGTTATACAGTCGTAGGCAACGAGCTACTGGTAGCGAATAGACTACCACTCAGGCATTGTCGCCAACCAGCTTTCCACAAATTCAATGCGCGAATCATCCTCAGAGAGCGGCCCCGATCCCCAAGAGTTTCCGAGCCACATAGTCTGCTTCTTCTCCTTAGTGCTCTGCGGGAACTCAGGCAGTCCATCGCCGTTGGGGTTGCCGGTCCGGATGAAGTTGGCCCAGTAGTTGGACATGCGCTCCTCCACAATGTAATCATAGGGGTACCAGGTCACGTTGGAGTAGTCCGAGTACGGAATGTTGTTGAAGGTGTACCAAAGCTCCGAGCCGTGGTACGCGCCCGACTCCCTGTTCTCAGCCGGAGAGCGGGTGAAGTAGTAGGTGTAGACAGGGCTCTTGGCGCCGCCGGCGGCCCAGTCGACGGACCACTGCCACGTACCGACGCGGCTCAGGTCGCGGTAGAACTCGTTGGAGTTGTTGTTGGCCTGCGAGACGGTCTGGCCCGGGTAGAGCTTGAAGAACTGGCTGGAATTGTTCTCGAACATCTCGGTGTAGAGTTCCTTGTAAGTGGCGACCGTCAAACCGGGGTCCGTGCTGGCGCCCGACTCATCCTTGTTGTTACCGGTGAGAATGGGCACGTCAAGGTGCGCATCAAGGGCCAGAGACTCGCCGTAGCCGTACGGGAGGACGTAGCCGTCGATGTTGGGCCGCCACAAGGGAGGATCCATGAAGAAGCTGGACAGGTTCTGGAACTGGGTGTTGTCGAAGGTGGTGTCGCTCAGGGAGTCGTATCCAATCAAGGTCTCGGTGGAGAGCTTGCGCGCCTCAGCAAGGCTGGAAATGTTCAGTTCCTTCAGGAACTCGACACCCTGGGCTTCAGCAGCAGCCTTGGTACGGTAGCTGGTGGCAGCACTGCCGGTCATCGGGTCGTGGGGACCACGCGCACCACTTTCGGCGATGACACCCGCTACCAGGCCCTTGTTCAAGGGGCTCCACATGGAGTCGAGGGCGCTGGCAGAGCCGGCAGATTGCCCGCCCACGGTGATCTGGCTGGCATTGCCGCCGAAGTTGGCGATGTTCTCATGAACCCAGCGCAGCGCAGCCTGCTGATCAAGGATACCGTAGTTACCGGAGCTGTTGTGGCCGGACTCAGCCGACAGTTCGGGGTGAGCCAAATATCCAAAGGGACCCAGACGGTAGTTGATGGTCACGACAATAATATCCTTGATGGCAAGACCGGTGCCATCGTAGGTCAGCACGTCTCCCGATCCTCCCTCGAACCGACCACCGTAGATCCAGAAGTAGACGGGGAGATTCTTGGAGGTGATGTCCGAGGTATCGTTGTAGTTGGGAGTCCAGATGTTCAGGTACAGACAGTCCTCACTCATAGTCGTCTTGCCACTGCTGAAGATACCCGCAGTACTGTAAGTCTGGGCACATTGAGGGCCAAACTCAGTCGCATTGAGAACACCATCCCACGATTGGGGCGATTGAGGAGCCTTCCAGCGGTTGTCCCCAGTGGGAGGAGCAGCAAAAGGAATGCCTTTGTAAACCACAGCCGCATCACCGCCACGGAAAGGGGAGTACTCTCCCTGCAGTTGACCCAAAGTGGTGTTGATCACTGGAAGCTGCGAGGTGGAGGATCGTGCCAGAGGACTGGCGAACGCTGCGAGTGGCGCAACGGCTGTCAGGCCAGCCAAAGTGGAGAAAACATGCATGATGGAGGAAGTTGCTAGCTCACTTTGAGCTATGCGCTGAGTGAATGGGTAGAGAAAGGCAAAGTTGGATGACACACAAAAGCAAGCAGGATGCAACCCTCCTTATATAGCTTGATTTCACACAAACTACTTGTCCTACGGGGGGTTCTAGCCCAATATTGAGAGTCACCTATAGGTGCCACAGGCGTCGTCATCGTTTCATGCGGGCTGCTCTTCGAACAATGCGAATGCGTCTTCTACTGGCTATACGTATTGTAGATGGCGTAAGCATTTTCAGCAACAGTTGAATTAAACTGGGTCGAGCCTCCGGGAGGATCCGCACAACCCGGCAGCCAGGATCTGACCTTATTCTACGCGTGTATTTACGCAGGATTCTTGCAGCAACTTACTGGCCAGTAACCACCTTCTGCTCTTTTCTTCATGTCTGCAGAAGCAGGAACCCGCTTTTAGTTTATTTCGGCTCTCGAGGTGCAGATCCCCGACTCGGCTGTTGCGATATCGCCGAAACCTCGGGGCTTGACCCGAGTATTGACGTCATAGACTCCAGGATTCGTGCTTCTCTCAGCGCACGTGTCTCGGAGATAGAGATTCGACGGCAGTAATCGCCGTATTCGTCATGGTTGGGGCTCGGAATTTCGCATTACCGACTCGGAAAGTGAGTAGATGTTTGAAAGTCCTTATTGACCGACGATCATACTACTCTTTCACTTTAAAAATTCCAGATTGTGTTTCAGAGTGGTCTAGCTGGTATCATGAGGGAATAACAATGCGATGCTTATATACAAGGGGTCGACCCGGTCGACTCGGTGACTGAATCCGTGCCAAAAACGCGTCATTGAACTCCGACAGGTCGTGCGCCCGAGAGATTAACCACCCTTCCTCCACCGGCCGAAGGGATTGCCGCCGCGACAGGAGGCTGGACCCATCCAGGGACGTTATCATCTTCACTTTCTCGAGAGTATATCGTCTGCCACACGTTAGGAAAGCCGGTCGGCAGGGCGCCGCGAAGGCGCGCGCCTGGAATGGCTAGACGGGGGTTTTTGTGGGTCAAATAGCCCCGCATGAGGCCTTGAGTCAGGAGAGACGCAAGAATCGATTCAATCTCACGCATCATCAATGTTGGCTTCCCGTCCTCGGGTTCAAGATCGGGGCGGCTGGCGTAGGGGTCAAGCTCAAACTGTTTGTAGTCTGCCGAGGGCTGCCCGTCAACCATGTTTCCTGCTGAGTTGGCTTGCCATTGCCCTTGGGCATCAAAATACCCATCAGGTGCCAGATAATCAGCATATTTGGCTATTAGGCTGGGTCCCGGAAGGGCTTCCTGTGCATCCAGTTCATTGACACCTTCAAAATCCCAATCTAGCTGTTTGTATACTATCTGGGAGCCAACGCGATTATTCCCTGCCTGTGCATCAAGCTCGGGACGGGGCGCGAAAAATCCGTAAGCCTGCTGAGCTGATGCCGTATGCTGAGATTGTATCCACTGAATAGCAATCTCAAGCTTGCTGAGGTACAAGAACGGAGGCGGTCCGCGGCTCTGTCCCTGAGAGTCACCGTGAAAGCCACCGTGAATAAAGACTTTACGCGCAAGGGACCTCCACACAAGGATTTCACATCGAGTGCGCAGGGGAAGAAGAATTCCTTTGCGCGCGAACCACTCTGTTTGAGTGGAACCTACTGCAAGGTGCTCCCGAAAAGCGATGTAGTCGCCGCGAGCGATCAGTCGGCATATTGGTATAAATTTGTCCCCTAGGCCCTCAGCTTCCGGACGCTGCAGCAGTTGTAGGGTGGGGAAACGGCCCAAGATGATATTGCATGGGATGAGGTACGTGAGAATGGCACGTTTCTGGCTCAATGCTTGGCGGTGACATTGGTCGTATGAGGCCTGTAAGGCAATCTGCGCTGGATAAAATAGATTATTGGCGAATAGGTAGCGTCCAAGATAGTAAAGGTATGTCACTCTTTGAGAGGCCGGGAAGTATTTTAGTGGCGGGGATTGCGCGCTGATACTCGCGAACATTTGCTCCGCATTTCGAAGTTTGCCACACTGTTCTATGGTTAGAGCAATTGAGGATTGTTCCCATGGTTTGCTCATACCTGAAACAGTAACTTCAAGCAAAGATTGGCCATAAGATAAATACCAATCCGCTTTCCTTCCGGCTTTCCGTGAATCCCTGGCGTACCGCTTCGATCCGTGAGACATTTGATGAATGCCTCTCGAACTACGTTTGCAGACTTTTCCACCAGCGTCACTTTCTCCGCAGTCTCATCCTGGTTCGATCGGCCGTCTAGTCGGAGTAAGTGTGCGATCAATTCGGGACGGCGGTCGAGACCCATGGCCAGCTTCGCAAGAACTTTGGAGAGGTATAGCACGGTTGGCAGGACAATGACACCCATTTGACTGTCACCTAACGCGAGAACACACTGGCTGTAAACAACAGGGTTAGCGTCGGCAATGACCCTAGAGGAGTTTGAACTGCATACTTGACGAGTGTTTTGAGAAGGTCGTAGGTCTCGAGCAAGTTATCGACATTCACATCCCGCAGAAAGGTGAAGTAAAGCTTCATGAAGGTTGAGAACGCAGTCCAGGAGCTACCCTTGAACTTTGGTACTAAACCTTCACATCGCCGCAATAGATCTCCTTCCCGTGGGCCAGAGGGATAGTGTTGCCGTAATTCGTTAGTCATTTGCCGATAGATGTCGGGGAGCGGAGGCTCAATTTGCAGAAAGTCCTGCAGTTTGACTCCATCGCGGGATTTGACGATATCTGCAACGCTCGCAAAGAATTGATCGAGAGTCGGTGTCGCCATCTTGCCCGTTGGTGGTGGAGGTCAGACGTCCGAGATCAGAATATAGAATGGCGCGAGACTGTGAGACTTATACGAATTCTGTCGCAGAGGCAGTTCAACGAATGTCCCACATGATGCGACCACTAAGAGAATGGATGAGACCCTGGTTCTGGGCCCGGAGATTAGAGAAACGAAGCTCAAGATGATGGATGAATTGGAGCAACACCGGCGGCGGGAAAGTCTAGCCGGCAGAATCGAGGGATAAGCTCTCACCGCCGCAGCTGCAGACTAGCCTCGATCGGGCAATCCGTACTGAAGCAAGCTTGGCAGCCATGCTCTGCGAGATCTTCCCTCGGTCTTATCACCACCATTTCATTACGCTACAATCTCGGAGACCATTGTGATATGTCCCATGGTATACTGCATTCTCTTTACGAACCTGACTTGATAGTTCCCGCGACGAAGCGATAGGATTTGTGGACGAAGACCGCCAATGAATTAATGCTCATCTACTACTAGTTCGAGACCGAGACCTCGGCTACTATATATAGCACCACCAAGATCAGCATGTCAGCATGTACGCCACAGACAGTCACCACACCCTTGCAGTCGGAGTCTTTGTTCAAGCAGACATCTGTCTCGGAGCTTTCTTGCGAATGATCGTTTGAGAGTCCTTACTCCATAAGGAGTATCCCACAACTTGAAAGCTCAGATGGACACAAATTGTTCGGACCCTTCGGATCGAGGTTACACAACCACATGGGATGCCATATGAGAGATGGGGTAATTAGAAACATAAGATTGTCACACAGAATCAGATTTCATTATCTGAGATCGATCCAAGTGCTTTCAGGGTCTCTTGTTCCGATGTCCGCCAACCCGGTTCGAGATAGACTACAGTCCCACAGGCCGGAGGAAGCCGGAATCGCACACGCAAACATGAACAATGGGGCAGATCGAATTGCAAGGCCAGCTTTCCTGGTAGACCTGCGGGAATTATGCAATGATAACCTGGTGGGTGCATAGCATTCTTCTGGAGAAAGACTCAGCAGCCAGTGAGCAGAGGGTGCCCGCATTCACATGCTTCACACGAGGGCCGATCCACAACTAACTACGTCATGCTTTGAACATGGCTGTTTCAAAGCCCCCATCATCATTCATCATCCATCATCATCATCATCCTCGCTGTCGGCCATTGAAAAAGTGTCTGTCTCCCCAGTCGTTTGCTTGGATCCAGATTGATTTCATTTTGGAATATATCCGATCGAAATCTGATATTTGCTCCAAGTGGCACTGCCTGTGCCAATATCTTTCCCTTCTCACTGCCCACAAAACCAAATTTCTACCATGGCAGACAAAAGCCACTCAGGGCTTTCCATATCAGCCTTTCTCAAGCACCCATTCTTACAGACATGGACTGTCTTCTACATGCTACTTCAGCACTTGATTACTTGGGTCTTCGCTCCTAACCCTCCCAAGCCGTCGTCTGTTGCAGATGGCGTCCCGAAGAAGAGGATCGCGGTGATTGGCGCTGGTCTTACCGGAGTTTCAGCGGCAGCGCACTGTGTCGGTCATGGATTCGATGTGGAGATCTTTGAAGCGAGATCAAAGGACAAAGGTCTTGGAGGCATTTGGAGTGTAAGAGTCACGTCTTTCCCGTGCAATGGAACGTGCTAATCTAGCTGACAGCGGGTCAACTCGACATCCTCTTTGCAAATCCACAGCATCATGTACCGGTTTCACCCTTCCGTTAAATACGATGCCGCCTACCCAACTCAGGCGGAGATCAAAGAACAAATCACAAGCCTATGGAAGCGCTACGACCTTCAGAAGCACACTACCTTCAACACGCCTGTCAACTCGGTCAAGCAGACCAAGAACGGCAGATGGATCATTAACAACGACGAATCCAAGTATGGGCGCTTTGACGGTATCATTGCTTCTGTCGGAGTGTGCGGTGATCCGAAGATGCCCCCTCTTCCCGACCAGGACAAGTTTAAGGGCCAAGTCTACCACTCATCCGAGCTCGACGGCAAGTCAGTCGAAGGCAAGAAGGTCCTCATCATTGGCGGGGGAGCCAGTGCCATCGAAGCGCTGGAGTTCGCCGTCAAGAACCATGCCGCCGAAATAGATGTGCTCTCCCGCTCCGACAAGTGGATTATCCCTCGCAATGTGTTCGTCCAGTCCCTGCTGGCAATGAACATCCTCGGCCAGGAGACCTCCCTTTCCTGGATTCCCGAATCGCTGCTCCGCAAGTTCTTCTACCGTGACCTCTCCGACATCGCTCCCTCTGGCGGTCTGTTCACTGGAACCCCGATGGCCAACTCGGAACTCTTCGAGCAGATCCGCCAGGGCAAGGCCCGCTGGCTGCGCGGCGACATCGTCTCCGCCGAGGCCGACGGCATCCGGTTCAACTTCCGCAGCCGCGGGGTCCCTAAGGGCGGTCCGGGCCACGAAGCTCTGGTACCGGGAGATGTTGTCATTATGGCCACCGGCTTCAAGCGTCCTTCGCTGTCGTTTTTGCCTGACGATGCCTTTGAGGAGCCGTACTCGCCGCCCAGTTGGTACCTGCAGACCTTCCCGCCCAAGTATCCCAGCATTTGCGCCAACAACAGCACCTACGTCAACGCCATCGGCACCGTGGGCAACATGCACATTGGCATCTACACTCGGTTCCTGCTCATGTTCCTGACGGACCCGCTGTCGCGGCCGAGCGAGGGACGCATGAAGACCTGGATTGACTTCACGCGGCTGATGAAGAAGCTGTCTCCTGTTGGTGCATTTGATTTCTTCACTTATACCGAGTTGCTGTATTGGTTTGTGTTCTGTATTTTGGTCAACCCCTTCCGGTGGAAGTGGGCGCCTTTTGTCCTGTTTGGCATTGGATGGACGCTCCCCTTGGAGGTGGTGAAGCAGGAGAATGCGTTTAGAAAGGAGCTTAAACGACAACATCAACATTAGTTGGTGGATGATGCCCCTCGATGAACTTGAACATACAGCTCGCTAGCTAGCTGCTAGCCAGCTGATATTCCGACATACCGAATATGCTATGATTAATGATCCGTTATGTACAATCGAATTGTTTGAAATGCTCAAACATGTCCAACCCGTACTCTTTTGTAATGTAGCACACACACGACCTCTCTCCCTTTTTCTTACCCTTCTCTGGACAATACATCAACTTCAACCCTTCAAATAATACTCCCCTCCCCACCAAGCCCTCCACACCCCATACAAACCCCTAACAGGCCACACCCGCCCTACCATCCCCCTCGCCCACCTCGCCCACCCCTCCTCGGTGCTCCCCTCCAACCGCACTCGCACCTTTTCAAACAAATCCGGCAAATATCCGGCATGATACTTCTCGCGGAGACCCTGATAAGATCTCCAGTCATATATCTTCCAGAACTCGTCCTCCGTGTAATAGGTATGAGCGTACAACCACTTCTTGCCCCCCAGGGCTTGCACTTTGTGCTCGAGTCGGCGGTTTTGGTGGATGAAGGCTTCCCCGCGGTAGGGCGAGGGGGCCCAGAGGCCGAAGTTGAGGAGGTATTTTTCATCGTTGTCGTTATCGTTGTCGTTGGGTTGGGATGTGGTGGATGGGGGATTAGTAGTAGTAGCAGCAGCAGCAGCAGCAGCAGGAGGAGAAGGCGGCTTCCCCGAAATCATCAACCCCCCACCATCCGACCTGACCAGCAACGGACACAACCAAATCGGATAATGGCCGAAATGCTCCGGACGGTCCAGCCACTCCACAAACTCTGTGGTGGCCGGGTATGGCACGGCGACGTCCTGGATCAGGTACTGCGCGGCGAGACCGCTCTGGTGCAGGGCGTGGTACATGACCCTGGTATGCATGAAGGAGTCGAGCAGGTAGCGGGTGAGGTGGGTGAAGGGGGTGAGGAAGTAGGAGTAGGCGTAGCGGCCGGTCCAGAAGGCGCCGCGGTCGTAGCGAAAGAGGTAATCCTGTAGCGGGATGTAGTCTTTCGGTGGTGATGACGGGGTTTGTGCAAGACGAGGCGCGCGGTGCTGCGCGTGGAGGTAGAACCACGGGTCGTGGGGGCGGGTGAAGCGCTGCAATGTTGGTGGTGCTGATGATGCAGGCTGCGCGTCGGTCAACTTGCCCGCGCAGATCACGATGTGGTCTTTGGCGAACACGATCCCGTCGAGATACTCCACCGAGGCATCGGCGGTGGCGGCGCGGATGGCCTCCATGGCCTCGGGCATGCTGCGGGTGGAGATGTAGGAGAGCTCGACGTAGGGCAAGGCGGGCCGGCACTGGATCTCCAGCAGCGTGACGACTCCCAGCGTGCCAAAGGCCGAGGCGGCGCCCCAGAAGAGCTCGGCACCCGGGCCGGTGCGTGAGGCAGACCGGATCTCGCCGTTGGGGATCACGATCTCGATCTGGAGCACGGTGGCATCGAAGAAGCCGTGGCGGAAGGAACTGCTCTCGCCGGATGTGCCGGAAAAGCCGCCCCCCGCAGTGATGCCGGGGAATTCCATAACCACCAGCGGCACCAGGCCGTGCTGGAGCGTGGCGGCCACGAGGGCGTCCATCGGCACGTTAGGCTCGACGGTCACAGTTTTTGCGACTTCGTTGACGTGCAGCACATGGTTCAGGTCGGCAGTGCTGATGGTGTTGTGCACGTGGTGTTGCGACTTGCGCGTGGAATTGGTGGAGCCATGGTAAATGCGAAAGGGTTGTTGACGAGCGTGGAATTGCTTGACCTGCGCAGCGACGGCCTCAACTGCCGTCTTGTGAGCTTCCATGGCGAGTGTTTGGAAGTGCGAGGGTTGGACTACAAAATGGAATCAAGAAAGATGCGGAGGGCTGCGGAGATAAGAAGCGCGTCCGATGGTTGCCTGATCCTCCTCGCTACCATCGATGATCTCATCGTCTCTCTATACAACCTCGACAGCGAATACACAATATAAAAGCAGAAAATGGACAAATGAATTGACTCTGTGGTTTCTTCTGTGAGCCCTCTCCCAGAGACAACAACGTCATCACTGGCACAACCTCAGCACGCATTGCGAACAAGCAGAACGGCAAATAACCTCGGGTATCATCCGATGAACGTGGTAGTCTTGCATGCACCCATAGCTGATCTAGAAACCCTTCAGACTCTGCAAACGGAGCAAGTTCTGTACCTGGCTCTGTAACTCAATGCCCGGTGCCTTCGTCGCTAACATGAGCCACCCAAATCTCAAAATGGAAAGGGTGAAACGATGATCCTGGATCAGGCTTTCGTGTGAAAGCCATCCTCCAGTCAAAGCGGGAGATGGGTAGAGCCGCTTGAGTCTTGGGAATCGTATCGTTCCGGCCACCTGATAACAAACCAGGCAGGACACTGAGACACGTTGTAGACCTCTGATGCCACTGTACGGACAAGGTACAACAGGATACCTCTCAGCAGAAGAACGCTGTCCCAGCGTAAAAGTAAATAGCCTACAGAGTATGTCAAATGTCAGGAGTATTTAGGGGCACGCTTAGGAAAGAACAAGTACAGGACAGAACAAGCTGTTAAATCTTAGTAGGCATTGAGAGCAAAGATGGGGAATCAAGCTTCCTGTAATTCGTACGTGGGTACTAATCGAGTCTGTATGCGTTTGTCTGGGTCTGCAGAAGTGCTTGAACGCCTGTCAGCGTCTGTATGCCGTACCATAGTCTTTGAAAGTAAGCCGGCATCTAACATCTCAAACACCATGATTGCGCTCAATATAACATTTGCAAAAGGGTGATAAGCGAACAAATGGCTTCGACAGAAGAAATTGCAAACGAACGAAGTGCGGAATCGGGCCAACTTCAGCTGTCCGACATCGGGTTCCAGATGCCTTTCACTGTAGGCCACTAGAACCATGCGTTTTCTTTTGCTTTCCGGGGGAATCTGACTCGTCTTCAAAGAAGTCAGACATATGGCTGTCGGATTCGCCTTCCTCTGACTGCCCGGTTGCTTGGGTTCGTGGCATAGCCAAGACATTTTCAAGCGCCATGGAAAAACTTGCAGGATACAGATGGAATGAAAGAACAACTGACTGAGATGAACATCTCCTGCGTATCATCCTCGTGTTATCGGTGAGGCTATGATCAACAATTCAAAGATATGGATGGCCAGGTCAGCAATCTCGTTCCAGAGGAGAGCTTCATGAGGGGACTTCGACAGGTGACTGTGGATAAAAGGAAGTGATTCAAATCGTATCAAGATGTGCCCTGATGACGAGTTACTGAAAGGGTGTGGAGAGATGGTAGTTGAGGCTATGGTGTGTAACAGACATGCCATTTCTATTTCGTTTTTTTTTGCCTGATAATCTGCCTTAGTATCGTCCTTACATGGGACTGCTCTTCATTGACGATACTGCACTAAGACTGAAGGGATCTGCATTCAGGCCACTTACAGACTTTTCATGAGGGCCCAGAGTTGATACTAGGATGATAAATCTCCACCGCGGCTTAAAAATTGTGATTTCTCGTAGCCCTCCAAATCTAGAAGACCTGCAGAGATTATAATGAAAACTTTTCTTGTTACCCTTCAAATGTCCGCGGCGATGCGAATTGGCTCGTGAGAGAGTTTCAGTACGGCTCATTAAAACAGGAGTCGTCGTCCTTTCATGAATCAAGAGATCCGCGAGTGCTCCTGGCAGCAAGAAAAGAACGACAGTTTGCGACAAAGCCAGGATAACTGGTCGCAGGTATTGACAGACCACGAGACTTTCCTCGAAAGTCATGACCGTTTCTTATCTCTGCTTTCATGTCTGGAACGTCTCTTATGTTGAGACCTTCTGTCGCGATATCCTCGCGAAGTCCGCTCGGGCTACACTCCCTACTGTTTGTCAGATGATATTTCAAATCGACCCAGTTCATGAATCATTCTCTTTCATGTCTGCGCCGCATGTTCTTAGTCCGATTTGTCTGGTGACAAGCGATTAACCTGGGCAGGAGGGTGATATTATCGTCAGTCGAGAAAACCCGTTTAGGCGAGCCTGGCTCGACTCGCTTCCAAACATTTGTCTAGCTCGTCAGAGGAACAACCGTGCAGTGAATAGAGCTTATGACTAGTGAGGTCTTCCTCTTCCACGACTCTCGATCTGGTATAAGTAGAGGATGTCGCTAGCCATTATGCAGTATTCGTCAAGCGTCTGAGTCCCCTGCTTGAGGGTCGAGATTCGTGTAATAGCTTCTTCATGTCGATCTATGTCTTTCCTGCAGCGTTTCTGGTCCTTCAAATACGCAAAATAGCTATCGTTATGCTCAGTCACAGTCACATATATTTCATGTCGATCCTGGGCCATATGGATCTGCCATTAATCGAAATCAACCTGCAATAAACAATCCAATTGGAAATTGGGATTTTAGAGAGGGACATATTTCTGGTAGTGCCTTTGAGCGGGCTATTGGTTATTCGAAATATATGCGATTATTTGCACTCTCCTACATCTGAATTCAAGGTAGATTCTTATTCCTCAGAACCGGTTGACTTCCATCATAACGCTGGGCTTCCTCGGTGATCGTGCAAGTGTCCATCCGTCTTGGCTTCGAATTTGGCCTCACTGAAGCTGGCGCTGAATGCCCCGTGATGGGGAGTCCATCTCAAGCTGAAATTGATGTTCGCGAAGCGGTCTTTCAAACGCATTTCCAATCCTCTACCAAATATCCAGTCGGCTGATGGCAAATTACTTGCAAAGAACATGGGCGAGGGGCCCTGGCTGCGCCGCGTCGGAGCATAATCACGCATCTCCAGGCCTACAAATGCTGGCAATACACCAGTATGAACAGGTCTCAGGCATATGCTTATTGACCAAGTCAAATCCCTGCTAGACGGACAAGAGTAATGGTTTTGAGGCCATAGCCTTGCTCCAGAGGCGAGTAATGATATAAAGGGTCACTCAGAACGCGACATCACTCCCGGCTCAATCTCTCCTCCAAATATCTTTCTATATGCATCAGGATAAACCAGAATAGGCACCGGATTCGAATTCGTGAAGAAACGTTTCGATTGCAGCATCTCTGCAATCAGGACCCCATTATCTTAGACTAACGAGTGGGCGTTTTGTAATATTGATGACCTTGACCCATTGTTAGGCAGCTGTGGAACCAGATATGATGATGAGCGATGTATGATCTTAGTACCGCAAGCTGGTAGCTGAGTAGAGCAAACTGGAAGATAATACCAGAAATCGAAATCTCGTTGAGCAAGTCAATTAAGTGGCTAGTCGATTGAGTATCACTCATTGACATCACCCGTTGTGCATCTCAGTATGGACCTGGGAGTGGACGAGAATCGCTTGCCATTGCGTCTAAAAAGACCAACACATCCACCGTATGATTAAAATCCTGGATAGCTTCGGAAAGAACCACCGCGAGTGCTGCCTCGCTGCGGCTGGCGAACCAAGCCGCAGGCGGCAGCGCGACGAAGCGGGAGGCACCCCACGCAACGTCGTCAGCCGGCAAGTGGGGCGCTGGCGCATCTCAGACCGCTCTGGGTGTGCCTACGGGAGGTGGGGAAAGTCCATGAGTTGTATACCTGGGTATCCCTTGTAATAGTCGAGTATCAGCAGTATATTCATCTCAAACGCTGCGTGAGGTCCAGGAACCAGAGGCCTAAGTGTCGCGGGGGCATGGCCGCCCCGGACATCAAACATCAGTTCCTTCCAGGAACTGATAAGTGCTTTCTCATTCTTTGCCTCTTCTGCCTGGTATGTAGATCTCTTGAAGGCTTTGCAGGCAGCCATAATAAACTCGGAATTATAGGGGGCGTTCTACGGATAGCACAATTTTCACTTCGCCGCGAGATTTTCCACTGGGATTATCACCATGTGACGAATACTTTATAAGGAAGACTGACTGCGTCTATATGGTTGCGGAACCCAGATACCTGGTGGATCTTCAACCAGAAGAGTGTCTTACTCTTCCATTTCTGTTCCTTCTCGTGGCCCCCGGCCAGGCCCACAGGACCTCGTAGCAATGACGGTTTTGTCGAGTCTGTGAAGGCCCAAGATAAACCTTTTCCCGTAATCCCAAGATCGCCCTTGAGAAGGAGTCCGTAGGCGAGCCAAACTAGAAAGCAATCATCATATTCTATACGCAAACGCTGAACTTTGGTTTGAGAATAGAGCTGGGAAGAAGGACATACCGGAATGCAGTTCGACTTTCTACCGGCGCATTGCCGGCACTTCACCGAGGACGCCGCGTCAAAAACGCAGCCAGGCGCGAAATTCTTCCCCCCAGAGGGGTCATAGTTCTTCACCGAAGTGCGTAAGCACTTCAGGCACCACAGAGAGACGGGAGTAAACGGGTGGTCGGCCAGCGGGCGAAGAGTAGACTGTCTGGCCATTTTGATTCGCCGGTAAAACTTTAGCGATGCATTAGCGTCCAATCGATGCCAAGAATGCGGGATATATACTTACATATTGCAGCAATGGAAACAGAAATGTTCAGATAAGTAAACGGCGCCAGAACGTGCAAGAATTGGAGATGCAGTACAATTGGAATGATAATATTGAAAAAAGATTCAAAGTGACTGCGATGTTGATGTCCTGAGAAGGAAAATATCACGTTTCCAAAGCGGACTAGCGTTGAAACGCGACGGCTATCTCTAACCTATATTTACTTAGGATTGTGTCTGTTATTGCCGTCTCCACAAACCAGGCTAGCCTACTCTGAACAGCATTGTTCCACTGCCACGGAGCTGCTGGGGACAGCCGCACAGAAAGGGGAGCCAATTGTCATAGATAATCGCCGGAACATTGGTGGCCCGCTGACGGTTGAGCCACATATTATTGATGCGATAGTCGTGATGTCAATGATCTAAAATCTCCCTGTATTTAATCTGAAACCTTGCGATTCTTTTCGAAGAGCAAGGATTAGTCTTGAAGAATAGGGACTGCTGTTATTCTATACCTAACTGATCGACTTTATCCTTAACAATTCTAATCCTTGTTTGGATGCGATCTCAATTCGGGAGGCTTATGCTTCCCCGTAACAGACGTTATCGGAATTGTGCTGTTCCTGCCTCTCTTGCTCCGTGTCGCTAAAGACGAACATGGAATCAGAGACTAGTGTTGTCATGTCAGCCAGCAAATAGACTAAGGCGGTATCCAAATAAGTGTCTAGAATCAGACCCGAAGACTGGTGATCTTACACCATGTTAAGGATCGCCCCGTTGGGTTCGACGCCTGGAGCGATGTCAACATAGAAGGAGAGGCACAATACAGCTTGATTGAACCATTGGAAGCCAAGAGCTTGCCTTTGATTGCCTCTGAGGATAGAAGGGACAGGGATGTTGTTTTTAAAGAAAACGCGGGCAAACTGTGCATTACCTGCGAAAAGAGAGTCCATTAGCATCATGCTGTGTATAGCCACTGCAGAGACAACCAACATAGAAGAGATGATCAAGGTGAGAATATCGGTTAAGTTCAGTACGATGGATGAGGATGTTGAGGGGTTGATCGGTTGTAGAAGGTAGGGGACCATGGTGGTTGATGGTTCTGTGAAAGAGACAGGACCTACCACTGAATGACTTATTCACTATCAATTGTTCTCCTGGAAAGAATATGTAAGGGACCCAGGGGTTACGATTGTTCTGGATGAATCGATCCCGTTTCCATTATTGACTCTTTATCCCTTAGAGGGTTTCTCATATAATCTTGTACCCTAGATTGAATGAGAATGTTTAACCCGAGATCACGATGAACCTAGTGAATCGGGACGGGCGAGCTGCGAAAAATTTGGCGAAATCCAATCCCTTCACTTAAACAGTTGTATGTGCTTGTCTCTTATTGAATACTGGCTCATTGGATCGGAAAGCAGCTGGTGTCTGGTGTATGCCAAGAATCAAGCCTTGAGCTAGCATGAATGTAGTATCAATATTATGCAAACCGCCGATAATCGCAAAAAGACACCCGGTGCGGTTATACTGATGGGGATGTGTCTGAGAGGTTATTCATCATTTCTACCTCCTAATCCAACTCAAAGAGGTATTACCCATCATGATTCACCTAACCGATACTCAGGCCACGCATGCTGGGAGATCATCGACGGGTCGTCAATGGCAATACTGCTGAATCATGCCATCTCCATCACATGATTGAGAATGTCCCGCAATGCTAAATCTGGCATCTCGAAAATCGACGACGACGGAGTTAGAAGCATCGCCTACGGCGGAGCATAATATAGGATGTGTCTGATCAGGCAAGATGGCGAATGAAAACAGCCCTAGTAGTCGGTGATAAGAACAGAACAAGTTGAACTGGGATGGACAGGATAGGGAGTAAATCATCCGCTGAGGTTTCTTGTGCATCAAGCCAACCTGGTAATAAAGTCAAAGCAGATTACCCAGACTTGCCAGGCTAACGAATCTGCTACGACCTCCCCCCACCCAATCCAAGCCAGCGCTCCGGCTATGAGACTTCCTCGATAATCGCTAATTGCGATATGGTGATACGCTCGCATTCATCTCCTCCGCTTTATCTATCTCCTGATTCACTTCGCATATCTCTCTATCCGTATACCTTTCCGCTTCGTATGAAGTCCCTGCATAGTGGTTTGATAGCCTCAGTTGCGAGAGGTTGTGGTCTCTCCTTCATCTCTCCTTCTTCATCTCTCCTTCTTCATCTCTCCTTCTTCATCTCTCCTTCTTCATCTCTCCTTCTTCATCTCTCCCTCTACACCTCTTATCTTACCTCTGTCTTCATCCTCATCTATCTCAGTATTGAATCATCACATCCTATTTATCTACTCAAATACTTTATCAATATAGCGTCCACTCCAAGTCTCATATTTCACAAATCTGCTGACGCTAAAAACCCGCCACTGAAAACTTCTGAGCAGAACACGAATGATTTTATAGATGATGTAATCAACTGGAGTCTTACATCCTAGCAAGCCGAAATCCTTTTATAGACGGTTTATACTAATATTTTCTGATTATATAGATGACGAAACACCACAAACAATAGATTATCTGAATAAAGGAACACCAGTAAAGATGACCGAGCACGAATCGAAAAACTCCTCTCCCACCAAGAAGGTACCCAACAAGAAGGTACCCACCAAGAGGGATTAAATGGAACAGCTGCACATCTCAAATAAAAGTGAATGGATAGAGTGGCTCTAATTTGATGTGGTGAAACCTTTCTGGATTGAGTTGTGGGAAGACTGCCTGGAGTATGCAACTCGGAACAAGAGGGGTCTGGGGTTGGCAGCTGTGCAAGAACAGATGATCAGGGGAGAGGCACGAGGCCTGGCGAAGTATAGCCGAAGAATACCAGAGAAAATCGATTGGGACACACGGGACCACCTCGCGAGGTTCATGGTTCAGGTGAAAGCGGCTAATCTTAATCAAAATAACAGACAATTCTACCAGCGAGGGTTGTCAGAAAACAAGATGGATATAATGATATGATCACTCAAGAACATCCTGAGTGGGTTGCATGCACCCTCGCAAATTGGCAAGAAGAGTGGAGGGACCGCAATATTTGGGACGGAACTAGATAGTGAGTCATGGATCCAGGTGTAAAAATGGATACCACCCGCTTTTGGAACTCTCCAGTATACCCCCTTGGGCTACTATGTGATCTCACGCGCAAAAATGTTTAAACTGTGTTGCCTTCTTTATAGATTCCTCTTTCGCCCACTGGGTAGCAAAACGAAACGATGTCACGGTGCATGCAAAGGCATTTTGGGGAGTAACGAAGGCCTCTGCAGTCTCCTCTGCTTTGGTTCAATGGCAACTTTCCTGTCCAAATTGATGGGCACCGTATCTGAGCCAGAAAGATACACTGCATCCTGGCTTGCTCCCCACGAAAAGACAGTTGACGTACCCCATTATGCGCTCACACTTGCGTGAAGTCCGTAAGGGCATGCAACTCGTGATCTCTCCATACCCTCCCTACCCGGGCACCAGCCACATGCATTCTTCAGTGTGCGTCTTTTGCTCCCCGCAGTAGAAAGCGTCAACCTAGCGCCGCCCTGCCGGGGCGGGGGGTGGGGGAGGGGTTCCTCTTGACGTATGCGGTGCTGAATGTGCTGCTTGCTTGGGTGCTGGAGTCCGAGTGACAACTACCTACTAGGTAAAGAAGTCGTCGGCCCATTCCGGGATCAGGCTGAAGTCTTCGCGCCGCCAACCATGATTTTGTAACTTGTCTGGTGTCGTTCAAATATCCACCCTGGTATCGAGCAGAGCATTCAGACAATCTATCTGGCACGGATGCGTCGAGGGCGGCGACAGGCGGCTACAGCGAGCCAGTTAGTCGCGATGCTCTAACCCAACTTCCCTGGACCGAACTCACCGCGAGGGGGGAGGCGGCTGGGGGAAAGGGACGAACCCTCGACAGAGGACAGCGGCGATCACAGAGGGAACATAGCTGCAGCAGTAGCAGTAAGATTCACCTCGCGGGCAGCACGGGCGGTGGACTGCTAAAATAAGCAGTGATAAAGAAACAATCGCGAGGGGTACACACAGAACAGGTTACCCAGCCAGCTCCGGGGGCAGCAGGGCGGCCAGACACTAAGAATCACCTTAACATCAACCATCCACGAGGGGGCAGAAAGGAATAACTTCAATCCACTCTGAGAGAGAAAGAGAGAGTTAAGAAGAAAGCCTTCAGCTAAGGAGAAGAGAGACTCTGATATAGAAGAAGATCCTACTCCCGCGAAAATAGCTTCACTAGCCTGGATTGTGAAGCTTCTCAGGCGGCCTAATTAGCAAATTAGGAGAAGTGGAACTCTTTACTGATTCCACCTGCGAATGGGAAAATAGATTAATAGGTGCTGTAAACAAGCCGCCTGCACATACCAGATAGCGAAGTCAGCCCAAGTTGCAGGACGCTGACACATACGTGCAGCAACGCCCACATGCTAGAGGATGTCGTTTGAACGTCCGTTGTCAGAAACTGCTCTAGGAGATGTCTGGCCTGAAGGATATCCGCGAGATTCGCTTCCGGTTCTTGGATACTTCCTCATAATGGACCCTCAATTTGCAGCCAAATGAACCGAGGAAACTTCGTCTCTGTAAATAGAAGCAGGGTAAGGAAAAGCAAGGCAACAATCGCTATGGTGGCTTTAAGTCCATTCCACCACAGTACTTGGAAGAACAAACTTATTTTATCAAGGAGAAACTGTTTCGGAGTGGGAGAGAGTGCTTGCATCGAAACTAGGATGATAACTCAGACATGGAAGAGCAGCTGAAGCTTCCCCATAGCAGGAAACTGCCATCCGAACAATGCGGCCGACAAGAGCTCTCTAGACTCTTTTACAGCCAGAACATTTCAATCAGCACTCTAGTCCACACAAATCACAAACCGGTACAGCAACCGCTGGACCACAAAGGCAAAGGGACGAATATTCCTGGTTGATCTCATCGCGCCTCATTGTGGTCCCCTTTCTGAGCGGAGAAGAGGAATATTTGAGGATTTCAATGACAGCCAGCAGAACCACAGAATTTCGGATCAGCCGTTCCCCAAAGCCGCCAAGAGCTTTTCAGGTATCGTTATGATCAACCTACAGTCTTTGCTGTGGCCTGGATTACCGGCGGTACTTGGAGATTGGATGAGACCAATAAGCTTCATACTACCAGAGGCAATATGGTGTAGCCCATCTTTGCATCAAGAGGGAGAACGGACTGCCTTCGATGACTAGTCGGAGTCCTTATTAGCCCGAGACAAAGTTCAGCAATCGCTCGTTGGCATTTGGCACGTCAACGACTGCCTTCTCAATAACCCTCTGGAGGAAAACCCTCTGCGGTGTCAGTTGCCGATTCTTTAGTCATGGATGGGTAGAACCAAGCACTGGGTTTGAAGAGTGCTAGGACACTGTCAATACTTCCAGTCGTACCTCCACTGAATAATTTGTTTTTAAAAGTTAGGGAAGACTCACAGGAGTACAGTTGGTCTTGCGACCCGCGCACTGCTGACATTTCACCGACGAAACGGCGTCGAAAACACAACCTGGCATGAACTTCTCGCCCGACCCCTGCTCATAATTCTTGACGCTGGTGCGGAGGCATTTCAAGTCATGTCATCGTAGGAAACCCAGCCCCATAGCTGGTGTGAACGGCTGTGTTGATGGGAAGTATATGGCTCGAGATCCTCATTGCGTCGATGGTCACGCTCAGCAAACAGGTCGAGACATGATACAGTCACGGAGCTCCCTCGAGTGGACTTCGACTTGTCGATCATCTCAATCTGGTGCCTATTCCGTTGGCCTTGCGTTTGAAAAACCAGTGACAATACCCGCAAAGAACAGATTGACTCTGAGGATCCAGCGCGATAAACCAAGCTGGCTTCGAACTGAGATGCATCATTGCTTTAGAGCCAGCCCGTGGTGGCTCGGAGTCACAAGGACAAAGAGTCCCCGAAGTCCAAGTGTGCAAAGCCCGGCATTCAAGATTGACCCCACGGGAGAGAAATACGGGGTAGAGATTTCGATACAAAGGCCTTGATGTAGGAGATAAACGTGCTTGACGGTAGGAATGAAGCCGAACGAGAGGGTGAAAGTGGAAGAGAAAGAAAAGAGAAAGGTCCGGAAAGAGATTTTGAACAGACCAAGCGAGCCAGGGCTGGTTGGGGATGCGAATAGATTTGTATTTCCTATTCACAGTCTACAGTAGTATTATTCTCAAATAAGTGAGTTGGAAGAAGAATATTCACCATGCGGATGGCTGGATATTGAGGATAGATATTTCCATTTCAGAAATGGGCGATCGTCATCTTCACCATGAATGAATAGCCTCTTCATTCATCCAGGGATTAGGGTAAACTCCGAGTTATGTCGAGATTAGGTTCTAAGAGTATCGGGAGATCTATGGGGTAATGGACTTCGTGCCTTAATTAATGATCGAGCAACAAGACTCCCAGATTACAGCAGAGGCCCTGTAACAAGTAGCGTACAGTACATATGCCAATATCACTGCATAATAGTCAGACGATCATCCAGATAATGCTAAGAACCATATGAAGTTTATTTGTAGAACAGATATTATAAGTCTAACCCGGTATCTACACTATCCAAACACAATGCCCACGCTGTATATCATGACTCATGTCCGAAATGCTCCAATGCTTGCTGTACCCAACAGAAGAATGTAGAAAGGACAAGTAATAGACAATAACTAATCAAACGCCTTCAATGACAATGCGCCCCTCTAATCTCGGAGAAATTCCAGGCGTCCACGTCGGCGTGAACCCGCCCAGATCTTCGTCGTTGATTGCCGACGGCTGCAACCCGGCCTTGCGCATCCACAGCCGAGTCACCTTGCGGGCAAGCCGCAGACGACGTTCTTCCTCCGTGGCCGATTTGGCCGGCATAGTGACATAGTTTGTTGTCGGGTGAGGCGCCGACAGAACCTCGGGGTCGGTGTCGGAATCCGAATCCAGCGACACCTGGTCAGATCTCTCCGACTCAGATGAGTCACTGGGCGAATAGCGCCCGTAGTAGTATTTCTGCTTGGTGCGATTCAGCGTGGGCCGGTGGACACGGTAGGGAACCTTCTCGGCGACCGGTGATGCTTGTGCCGAAGGGGCCTTCAGCCACCCATCACCGTGCAGGTTCTTGTGAACTGTGTCCCAGTGGCGCGTGAGGCTCTGGCTCCATCGCTGCCACCTCCCTAGGACTTTCAGACTAAGGAAGTACTGTCGGAGCAGGGTGCTGATAAGAATGCCGCTCTCCTCGTCAACAACCTCTTCCACTTCGCCACCCTCGGACTCTACGAGCAGTGACGCAAAGCCGTCTTTGCCACGACCCATATAACCACGAGTGGCAAGCAGATATTTGCGGTCAAAATCGACGGGCCGTCCATCAATCTTCGCCCAGTTAATCCGCGAGCCTGACGGTGCGGACGGGTTGTAGCTGAAAGCAATATTAGACACCTGCGGGAAGCGTCCCTCCAACGCGGGAAGTTGACTGACGCCATTCTCCAAGGCATCGAAAAGCGCTTTACCTTTGATGCGAAGTAGAACGACGGGGTCCTCAAAGGGAAAGCAGTTCAGGATGTCCTTCACCTTCAACACCCCGGGCGGGTAGATTTGATCGCCACGAATGGTGCCACCAGCCATCATTGCACAGTCTGCGCCATAGTAGAACCGCATAAGATCGCAGGCGAAGTTCCCGAGATTCGACTCTCGTTGACGCACCGTCGAAAAGCGACCGTCCAGTGGACGGGATGTGTACCCGATGGGCTTCTCCAGCTTGGCCTTCAGACTTGATGTCAGCCGACCCACCATGGCCGTTGTCGACGAATCTTCCGGAATGGACCGAACCAAGTCCCTGCGCACGATGTCAAAGTCCCAGCCCGCCCCATCTGGTTTGCGCCAGGCCTCCAGATAGCTGAGCTGCTTGAAATCGGTACCCGACCGAAGAATATGTACTCCGTTCACCACCGCATGCGCATAGAAATGATCATGACCCCCGAGAATGATATCCACCAGCCCCGGCGTCAGGTTCTCGGCCAACTTGTAATCATTCGGCTCACGTTGATGAGTAACAGCAACGACAATATCCGCGCCTTGCTCGCGCAGGCGTGGCGCAAGCTCTAGGGCGGTCTTCGAGGCGGATTTGTATATGAGGTTCGGCGGTAGAGCGTTAATAGTTCCTAACCTGAGTATTCCATCCAGATTAGTCAATGTGACGTTTCGAGTGGCGGTGTGCGCGCTCGCAACTTACCATTCCCTTTCCCCCAGCCCAATCACCCCAACCTTGAGCCCGTTACTTGCGGTCAGCATCACCGTCTTTTCACAATCCGCAATTGGGATATCCTCGCCCAGCGCCGGATCGATAACATTCGCTAGCAGCCACGGAAACTGGCATTGTGTGCGTAGATGACGAAATTGTGCGACCCCGAAGTCGAGATCGTGATTCTAACCCAGCGATTTGTTGTCAGCATACCTCGTATTGTCGTCACCCCTGACTCAGCCCACCAAAACTTGCCCCTCGCTGAGACACAACCGAAACACCGGAAATACACGTACCCCTACACAGGCCACATCTGTACCAATCTTGTTCAGAAACGGTACCATATGCTTGCCCTTTGTGACCGAACTCTCGAGACTCGGGTTGTAGGCATCGCCGGAGAAGAAGGTCAGCACGCCGGGTTGACCGGCGAAAGCGGGATCGGAGCGGTAGTAGTTAACGACAGACTGGAAGCGCGGTACGCCACCGACGGGCTCTGCGGATCCTGCTCTATGCGGTGAAGTAGTTTTTAGCGAGAGCGCTGTTTGTGGTAAGCCAGCAATGCAACTTACTCGACATGGTAGACATCATTGTAGTGAATCAAGCGGAGATCAGGCGGCCCCGTTCGGCCGCTAGTATGTATGACGGAGAAACCGTCGTTTGCGACAGCTGACATGCCTTGTATTCAACTAAGGTAGAGACAGATAAGAAAATAGGACTCCAGAAGAGAACACCTAGTGAGAAGTAGGAGAAAGAGAGAGAAAGACGGAAGATAAAGGGGCGGGAGAAGGAGAGTTGCCTGACTACTAATGTGTACAGTACAAGGAATGGGGGGGAATGGGGGGAATGGGGCAGTGACGCAGTTAACTGCCCTGGGTCTGGCACCGCGCCCGCGGCGCCAGGCATCCAGGCATTCCATGCAGGCACCCGGAAAATGCGGAGGTCGCCGACCAATCAGACTCACCCGATTGGCACACGGGATCTACGCGGTGGCGGACGGAGTCCACGGTCTGAGTCCCTCTGTCCCTTTGCCCATCTTCAGACCAAGTTGAAAACCGAGAGTGTCTGGCTGCCCGTGGCTTTTTCAAAACCTGCAGAGGAACCATAAAGCGGAAAAAATGGCATAGAGAGCAGGACATCCATACAGAGCTGAGAGATCCGCCACATTCTGCTCCCGTTACCCTGTGATGAGGTTCGTCGCTATCGGTAAACACCGCCCCACATTCCCCAAAGGATATGATCACATGCTTGCTTATCATCGTCAATAGACCGATAACTTATCGCCTAGTGCTTCCAAAGATAGCCGATACGCAAGGGTGGCCTCCCAGCATTGAGCGCTGTGGTCAACACGATTCTCTCGGAGTACGGAGTCATACCAGAATGAGTCCTGTCAGGCCCACGTCGCATTGCAGACGATCAGAACTCTAAAAGGAACCATTAACCTCAGCTGCGATATTCTATTGCATATGCTGACGTGTTATTGCCGGTGCAATCACGCTATCATGATGGCATAAATGTTCATTGTTGCCCGAGTTCAAGTCTAAGGACCTTTTGGTCACAGGAAAGCACGCAGCAAGAAAAAGAAAGCCCCAGAAACGGACAGAAACGCAAAGCAGAAAAGCATCATGGCAAACAGAATTGCGTCACGGACAAGCAAAGCGGCTCTCTTATTATGACAAACCGAAATCTGCACACTTTTGCTCATTCTCAGCTCACAGGGGTATATGGTCATAACATGGTAGGTTGCGGCGAATCTTCGTCTACCCGCGGTCATCGGCATTTCATCAATCATTCCATATCATGAGTTGATGGGCTCATGCCCAGGAAGAGGTGGACCCTGCTGCATCGGGGTAGAGATTCTCAATCCACCGGTACAGGTCCGAACCGTCATCCAGAGTAACGGTCTCGCCATTGAGCCAATTAGCAGCTAATACCTCGGCAGCTAATGTGGCAGGCATCGGGGATGGGTTGACGGTTAGTACCCGATCGAGGATGTTGGAGATGACCTTTCGTGCGCGCTGGCAGACATCATACATGCCATCGTGCGGTCGCACGACGTACTGGAGATGAGAGGCAAAAACGGTGAGTTTCTGGATGACTTCCGATCGGCGGAACGTGGGGGCTTGCAGCTGAGACTGAGCTTCAGACTGACGGAGAAGCTCGATAGCCAAGACTCCGGCCGCCGGAAGACCAAAGGATGATGCCTGTAGACATTAGTACAGACCAGCCACAGCAAGGCATAAGATGATACGCACATTCCAGCCGACATTGTAGGTTCCAGCCCTGGATCCAATCTCCTTACCGATGAGTTCGAGAATGGTGCTCAGTATGTTCTGTGAAACACTGATCAAGCCCTCTGCGCCGCTCTGGGTCCGCTTGACCAGAACCCGGTAGAGAAGAAAATCATTGTAGAGAAAGTTCAGGTACAGAGGCAGCAGGACACTGCTGGAACCGTTCGGATCCGGAGACCCGGGTCGCCAGCGGAGGAAGCTGGGGAGCTCGTTCCAAGTCTTGTGGGATTGCTGAGACACCTCCCTAGCAGTAGCGTCAGCGATAGCCCTCGACCAAGGGCATGTCATGCACTTACTGAACCTTGCGTGCCAGATCGTCAATACGACGGCTGAGAGACAACTCCAGAATCTGCTCACGCGTCGACCCAATGAGCAGGGCAATGCGGAGCCACGCGGACTTCCCCACGACCCCTTGGGTGTTCCACCCGGTCTTGTCGAGCTTGCTGATTGCGGCCTCTCGAACCTTGGGCTCAGCCAAGATTTCATCGTAGCTCAAGTCGAGAGGGAATTGGACGTCATAGTAGCGCCAGCTGATCTGCGGAGGTCTGCCCAAGGAGGTGGCCAGCTGTTTGTCGATGCTGTATGCGCCGGCCACCAGACGTTTGCGGAGCTCGACCACGAAGAATGGCGTCCGCGTGTCCTTCTCTGATTGATTGGAGCCCAGCGTAAACGCTACCGTCGCCAGCTCGGCCAACTTCCTCCACGCACGGGAATCTGTTACTGTCAGTATTCATCTATCCTTGCAGAGGATTCCACATACCATTTTCCCCATAGACCAAAGTCAACAGATGCAGATGCTGGAACAGCAACCAGCCCAGCGAATCATCGACCGCACCAAAGGTATCACAGAACTGCAGACAGGCATCACTCGCCGAGACAGCCTGGGCCGCCAGCAACTTCTGATCACGCGGCACATTGCGCTCCCGCTCACGGATGGACCGCCAATCGCGCTCCAGCATGGCCCCCTGCCCGACAATCGAGTACACCAGACCGATGCCCTCCCAGCGGGACGAGAGGCGGCGAATGTAGTCCTCTGGCGTCGTAGCTGCATGCACGACCAGGGGCTTGGAGCTATCGTCGAAGATCTTCTGCGCCCATCGCAGCATAGTCGCATGCCGATCCTTGACATAGCCGGGGTCGGACGTCAGGGCCTCGAGGATATCCTCGAGCGCCTCGAACATGCCCGTGATGAGCCGGTGGCCCAGGATGCAGCCCTCGGGCCAGACGTCCAACGAGGTCTCGGCGAGACGCTCGTACAGGGGCAGGTTCTCAAACAGCAAGGCGAGCAGTCGGGCGCCCATCTGGACCTGCCTCGGGTCCGGCGTGGCGGAATCCGCGGCCCGGCCCGAGGCATCGAGGTACATTGAGTTTCGGAATTGGTCCTCCATGTCGCTGAACACAGCCGAGTGGTTGTTGCTGTTGTTGTTGCTGTGGGTGTTGCCGGTGGGCAGACCCATCGGGATGGCGGCTGCGAGCTTCTCGTCGCCGCCGTTGGGGGTCGCCGACCGGCCTTGGGTGAAGGAGTCGGGGCGGCCCTGCGAGCGCGGGGAAGCGGTTGGCGACGGGGCATTGTCCGAGTACCAGGTGCGCGAGGCGGGGGTGACAGGATATACACAGCTGTCGGCCTTGCCTCGACGGATACAGTTCTGGCAGGCCGGGGTTGCGTTGTCGCAGCGCATCTTAGACTTACGGCATGGCTCACACGAGAGGGGCGGCTGGCCGTTGCGGCGCGGAGCTGCAGACATGATCGGGGATTTTGCTGCAGTGCAGCTGAAGATCCGGAATGCAAGATAGCAATGAAGAGAATCAAGAGCAGATAAATCGCATTGACATTGGAGGGAGGTTGGAGCTGGAGCGTCAGTGCAGTGACCAGAGCTTGAGGCAGCCTTTGGTGGGCTGGGGGATTTAAATGCAATCCCCCGCGGCGACAAAAATAGTAAATCCAGTGGCTGGAGGCGCTTACGTAGTGGGGCGGACACCTCAGGCAGAACACCCGGACCAAATCTTGGTCCCGCCAGATGGTCTGGGCTTATGGATTACAATGGAGTACTAGTACTAAAACTACTGTAGTAAACAGTGATAAGCCATCGTAGGGACGCTCATGATTTGTTCACATATTCAGACATTGATGATTTCCCGCATTCACACTCACTTCTGACCCTACAATCGCCTGAGCAAACAGGGATGCGTCATGTTTCAAACGCACCCTGCAGCACTGACCAATTATGCTCCGCAATTTTATCTCAACCTGACGAACAGAGAGAAGAGCATAAGTTGTGCGCGAAGCGACACCACATTACTCGCAATTAGTGCTTTCAACGTGATCTTTAAGCACAGACATATCCCCGAATCTCTCAGTCTTAGCAATCACCCCAGCATTAACCCATAGAGTTCTCCCAAAGTCAGTCGACAGAGCTAACACCCCTAGCTTCAATCCCAGCCCACAAGCCAAACACGATCCTCTGCACGAGTCCAGCTGTAGGGAGATTGGCAATCTCACTGGCAGTGTTCGACAAGTCATGCAAGGGTTTGTTCTGTTTCTTCCCAGCGGACCCACCTACAAGCGATTGTCGTGCGCACAGGTGGTCTCATCGTGTAGGACACTTGATTAACCCACAGAAATAAAAACACATGTTGGGAGTTTACACAAGGAAATTCAGGACATAGGTCAACCAGACCCTTTGTTTAGAGTAGATAGATATGGGACCATGCACTAGGACGAGTGCATCTCTGTGGAGTTGGATCTAAGGACCATCCTGAGAACGGCCTAGCATCCAGGTACTGAAGAGGTGAGTCGCGCATAAATGACATCAAGCCACATCGATCGTTTGCGCTCCATGCAGGGAGACGGATCCGGAAATGCTCTTTCAGCCTCGTAGCTTTAGGACTACCTCCCTGCAGTGGCTCCCTAAGTTGTAATGCTCAAGGTCTTAGAGACGGTTCGTGTGAGATGATGAGGCGTGGGTCGTGCCATTATGCGCAAATATTAAGTATAGGTATAAACTATCGTTCTTTGCAGGTTACATACTTTGGTAGGGCTGGAATCCAGCGAGGGTATAACGATGCAGCATTCAGTCTGTTAATTTGTGTAAAACGAATATTCCCATTGTGAACACATACACATAGCAGTATTCCCAGAACGTAGCTTGCTGAAGAATAGTTGCCAATATGCAGCAATAGTTGCAAGTCACCCGGGCCATCAGTACATAAAGAAGTATATCCCAACCTACCCAACGCATCGAAGCAAGTATGCATCGGACTCTCAAAGTAAGTAGTACCGACGACAAGCAAAGCCACATGTCTGTCAGACTCAATCTCAGGAAACTGCAGTAATCAACAAACTACGATCCCATCTCCACCATTCCTCTGATAACTCCATCCGAAAGAACATCCACATATTACTAGCATCTGCGACCATCCCAACCAGAAAAAACAGAAATCAGATCCCTTCCCCAATCACATTGTAATACATAATATGACAGCATAACATACCTCTGCCACAAGCGAGCTATCACTACCAACCTTGAAGCTACAGCTATAACCAATAACCCAGATATAATATCCATATTCATATGACCTCCACAGCAAACACCCCCCCCTACAAGATACCTCACACATCCATCATCCATCCCTATCTATCAAAGACCATCAAACCAGCAAAAAATGTAAAGGTAATAATCCGGATCTTCCCTCTGGGATACTATCTAATAAATATCCCCAGCCTATCAGAATCCTACCTCTCCCTAACAACCCGCGCCGGCCCCCTCAATCCCACCGACCTAGGAACCACCTACGAAAACCTCCACTCGTGCTGTCTACGTCTACTTTTCTGAATGGCGAATGGAGCATCCACCTGCTCGATACGGGACATCCCGCGCAGCTGCTGGCAGAGGATGGGCTGCCGCTGATTGCGGACGTTCCCTTCAGATGAGGATTATGGGGTGGTTGACAAGGTTGGGTGTTTCAATTCTTTTCTTTACTTAGAGGTTAAGTTAAAGGCTAGTAGAGGGAAGAGGTGGGTGGGGTGGATTACTTTTATTGGGATTGTACCCCCGCCAGCTCAACCTGATTTCCCTAACAACTATGTGTGACTGCTCTACTACTAGGCTCGCCCAATCAAATTCCGAGGCATTAGCGCATGTGTCTTAATCCCCGATGGCAACGAATCGGGGGATCGGTTCCGGTATGTGACGGAGGATGTGATTGCGGCGACGAATGAGTATAAGCCTTATTATCGGGATAAGGGGGTCCTGCTTTTTTATTTGCGGAGGGTTCTGTGGTAGGTAGGTGTTGATCTTTGGTGGTTGGTTAGTTTGAGGGTTTGATGTCTTGGGTGGCTCGGTTGAAGGGCTTGGATGGGATGGTTTTGGATGGAGGGTATGGAGGCATTCAGGATCTATGGAGGTGGTAAGTCTTGAAATTGTGGTAATTGAGTAGTACTAGTAGTATATCTCTACGAGTTTGTCAAGTATCTTTGAGTAGTGCCATAACTTCCATCAATGCCTATATTGAATCTATCTCCGAACTAAATCATCTCCCCTCACCACCCACCGCGCCCTCTCATAACACGTCAAATCCGGGATCACACTAATCAAAATCATCTCGCGCGAACCCAACCCCACGTCCGCCGCCAACTCCAACGCCAACTGCCGGACATCCACTCCACTCCTCGGCTCCGCCGGCAGCGCCATCCGCGGATGCGTCGTCAGTGTATACAACCCCTCGGAAACTCCGTCGCCCGATCAATCGCCATCAGCAACGGGAGCGACCCCGGCGCGGGGGGGTGCAGATTCCGCCCCAGCCTCCTCAGCCCGGTATCATGCATGTAGTCGAGCTCGTACTCCGAGCGGTCCATCAGCCCCCCGATCAACCGGGTCTTGCCATGCGCGATGGCGAGCGTCAGCGCGCTTGTTCCGTCCGTGGCGATAGGCCATCGCTTGGACGGGAAGGGTAGTAACGCGATTGCGAGGTTCCAGTGACCAGCGAGTATTACCTGGTGAATGAATGTGCGGTCACACTCGTCAGTGATGTCCATCAGTCTCGGGGCGGAGCTGAGGATCGCGTGGAGGACGGCGCCGGTCACTTTCTCTGCGGTCAGGGTCGGGTGGTGCAGCAGCGCGGTCAGCGGGTTGAGCGGCGGGCTCGTCCCCCAGGTGAGCTTGCTGAGGTCGACCCCGTTGCGGACGGCCCGGTGGATGAGATCTGCACGGCCCGTCCAGAGGATGATTTCCCAGGGGGCGCGGCGCGTGAAGCGGGCCCCGTGCGCGAGCAGCGTCTCGACGATCGCGACGGCCCCCCTTAGCAATCCGTCCGGATCGTGGGGTAGGTACTGTCGACCAGCCTTGCGGCGGAAGGGGGAGGTCAGATGGTCTAAGGGGAGCCGGTTAGTGTTCTCGCCACCATAGTTCGCGTCCGCGCAGTGTCGAAGCAGGAGACCAACGACGTCGATTCGGCTGCGACAGACCGCTAGCGAGAGGATCGATGAGCCACTTACTGTCACCGCGTTGGCGAGTCGCGGAGCGTACAGCTCGGCGGCGTATCTGCTCACGGACTTGCCGGCGTTGGCATTGGGACTGCTGTTGCTGTCTGCTCCTTGTAAAGGGTGGAGGTCGAAGACTACGAGTCTTTTGTTGCGCTCCGCCGCGGCGGCGGCGTGGTTCTCGTACACTTCCTGTGGGAGTATGGGATGGTCCTGGCATGCACCACAGGGCTTGTGGCTTATGGCGTTGTAGACCCCGCGTCGCGACTCGGAGAAGGCGATGAGATCGTCTTTCTGGAGGAATTCGGCGACTGTTGTGCGCAGGTCAGCGGGCATGGACTTTGCGTTGAGCTTGCAACGGACAGTGGTGATGGTCTGCGTTACAAGGCCCTTTGATTGAGGGCGTGTTCTCGGTTTGCGATCTGGGGTTGACGATGAAGCCATGATCGTAACGTAGCAGTCATTCGGGACGATTGATCAACAGGGTTGAGTTGGTGATGCAATGTCTTCTTATACTCTGCTCATTCCGGAAGAGCCCGGTGTGGTATGTAGGAACTCTTGTATGATATGCAGTCATTGAATTGCCTTGGTTTACTATCTAGATGTGAAATCCGCCAACAATCTCATTCATGGTGTAGAGAAAGGGCAGCAAACAAAGACTTTGTGTTTGGTTCTTTGGTGTCAATTGATGGATCCATATTAACCCCACAGCGGAAGCTAATCCCAAAACGGGCTGCACAAGTGGAACTGACACCCGCTGAAAATCTCTTGCATCATTTTGAATCCTCCGGTAATCGGATGTGCAACCGCAACGGTTGAGCCAAGAGTCCAGACACGGTGGACGTCTCCGACACCTCCATGTGGGCAGAAAGCTTCCTCACTAGCATGCTTCCATCAGCTGGCTAGAGGTTGCCTCGCTTGCTGATGCCCTACGTGTCCACCGATCGTTGATCCGATCGGGTCAAGACTGACAGAGTCTAAATGCTGCAACGAGGGCATAGCTGAGGTCAGCAGGTGGTCTGACCCGGCCATGCTCCAGTAGAATAACGCAGCAAGGATTCAAGGTTGAGTGGAATGATCTTGGCTTGATTGATTGGGTATATGTGTTTGAAAGCCATAGTTGTATTAGTACATGCATCCTCCCCTCAAAGAAAGCCGAAATTGCAAGCTACATGCGCCTCAGTAGTTCATAAATCATGATTGATGTCAAGGACAATGCGCCAGCGCCAAGAAGCTAATGTGCCTATCACAGCGGATGCCAAAATTACGGCCGTCGTCGTTCCGTCACGGTCCAACGCCGTTTGGTGCCCGCTTCCCGATCCTTGAGCACGGGTTCGCTCCCCCACAGACCACGCTGCGACATCGTGCGTTGCGGCAGGTTATTGGTCCGGGTTTGCTCGGTGGCGGGGGCTGGATCCGCACGGTGACTGTTTCCATTCGCAGACGAAGATGCTGGCGTCGTCCAGTCGCCAAAGTTGGGCACAATGTCATCTGCGGGCTCAGCTGAGACAGACACGGATCCCCATAGCCCTGTCGAACCACCGAGGGCCACGGCCGTCGAGGGCCGCGCCGCCTTCCACGACTGCGACCCCATGCCAGACGTCGAGGAGGGGCCGATGATAAACATTCCCTGTGACAACGACTTGCGTGGGGCAGTCCGCGCCCGATAGGTCGGGATACCCGGCGAGCTAAGGTTGACGGGTGACGAGACCACAGGATTACTAACCCCGCTCCGTAAATGCTCGGTAGATGCTATCTTTTTCAAGCGATAGCTTTGTAAGGGGGACAGCTCATCCAGAGACTGTTCGGATCCCAGAGACCCAACAGACGCCGTGGAGGCGGTTCCGACGGATTCGGGTAAATCATGCTGGCGCACTGCCAGGGTGAGAGACGCCGTAGCGATATCCACAAGCGCTGGCTCCCCGGAGATAGCTCCAATGAGAGCGTTGCAACCAGCTCCATGAGTGATCACAACCAAGATCGTCTCAGTGTCATCGTCAGCATCTTCAGAGGTCTCTCCGGTCCCGTCTAAGAACTGCGAGCGCTGTTGATTGTGACTGGTGGTGGTAGAGGCCGACAGGCCATGCTCGTCGTACCAGTTGACCATACATTCCAGCCCATTGCGAACCCGTGCATGCATTGTGCTCCATTCCTCTCCGTAATCCCCTCCACTGCCCCAGTTGAGATCACTGCGCATGCTGTCCCACTGATAGTCAACCTTCACACAAGCATCACGGGCATGCGTCACGTAGCCAGCAGGAATCGGGTCGGAAGGAGAAATAGCATAGCTAGGAGTCGGAGGCACATATGCGCTATCGTGAATCGTCGCTAGGTTGGTGTTAATTCGGCCCAGTAATTTGGGGCCGCGCGAGGCTTCACCCGCGCTCACGGTGTCGCTACCGGCGCGATGTCTCAGCGCCGGCGCCGCATCCGTGGTTGACGTGAATCCATTTTTGCTGGTCGCGGGGAGATCTGCAGCAGGAGAAACCGGAGTTGAGGCGCTTCCCCAGCCACCGGGGAAGAACCCGAGAGATGGTCGGGTAATGATGTCTGCCTCGGGGACAAAGCTCTGCTCGCGGCGTAGCAACTCGATCTTGGCAGCGGCGATCAGTCGGTCAGATGAAGGGGGAGGAACAATTTGTTCGAAATAGTCAGGACTGAGCCATTCACCAAGAAAAGCGTCGACACGCAAAAGGCACCGTGTATTGTCCAGGCTGGTTCTCTGGCTCGAGCTGGAAAGAGTGTGCAAGGTCCGATTTTTCAGGGAATGAGGAGTCGCGTCGCGAATCTGTTCTGCAATTGAGGCATACGGATGATAGTCTTCAGGCTCAGGGGAATTTTGGCAGATTCCCGAGCTCACTGCGATAGCTGTCTGGAGGCAGCGAAGGAATGGGGAGGTATGGATGACAATGCGACGCTTGCGCTTTGTATTCTTCGCGCCAGGGAATCGATTTTGCACGTCTTCGCATGAGGTCGCGATGTCTGCATCATCACTTAAAGTCTGCAGAAGATCGACGATTCTAGCACCGAGAGCGCGAGACTGTAGCCAGCCGCCGTAGGAGAGGGGAGGGTCGTAAGGAGTGGGCGATGTCAAATGCCAATTCTTGTCGGCAGCGTCAAGGCGAGCGCCGTGCCTAGGAAGACAGCGACCGTAAGAATCCGTTCTATGATTATGATTAAGAGTGAGATGGTGAATCTTACCTAGCAATGATGATGGCGGCGGGGGGGTTCCCCATGGCGGCAGTATGAGGCACGGTCAGAAGAGGGTTAAAGTAATTTGTCAGAGAAAGAGAACTTAAAGTCGGACGAAGCACAGGTTAGGTGCTTAAAGGAGAGAAAGACGATCCAAGTGATAACGAATTCGGTATGTCGCAGATTTGCAGGTGTACAGCTGGACAGGGGATGATTGTTGTCACCTTATGCCAGGTTGTCTTTACTCCGGCGGGGTAGAGCGCACGTCCACAGCCACGATCACAGCAGCGCGTTATAGGACAATCCGAGATACAAAGGTCGGGACAAAGGACCAAGAAGAGAACATGGTGGCAGAATGGAAAAGATCAGGCGAGACAAAGGAGGGAGTTCCCGGTCACCTTCTTCCAGGTTGCGATGGGTCGGATGAGAGTCCACCGGTATGAGGTAGAGTTGACTTTTGCTTTTTTTTTTTCTGGTTTTTTTTTTTCATCTTCGTCCGTGTTTTCCTGCAGTGAATGACTTTCACAATTTCTTCTGCTGCCTCGTCACTGGGCATGTGATTGTGATTAGTCAGTCAAAGGGGGTCGCTGAGATCAGGTGGAGCCAGCCACCGGATCCACTGCTTGCCGATATTCGGCAGTACCACAACTACGAAGTATGTTATAGAACATGACTTTGAGGCGCACTTATGTCCAGATCACTCCACTCAGAGACTCTTTTCTTCTCGTTCACTTGAGGATCAATAAGAAAGAGGTGCAGGATGGTGTATGCGATGACGGGGGATTCTGCCATGTCACATGATCTGTAGCCTGACCGCCTTGCTGCCTGCATGGACCCTTGGCGGATACGGAATCAACTGCCCTCTTGGTCCACCTCTTCAGCTCTTCAGCCTGCCCGTGATCGGAGATCCTCTAAGACCGCACTATATTCAATCGAAGCCTCACTCTGACTGTCTGGATCTTCCTTTTTTCGATCTTCAATTGCCAAGAAAAGAGTTCCGATAGAACAGCCCAGATTAGAAGCAGCATGGAAGATCTACACACTAATGATCTCCTGTGCAGGCTATGGTGACCGCCCCCGTATGGACGGAAATTTTATCTCCGCCTCTCATCGCCCACCTAATTATATCGCTCCCGAATTATATGGTTCAGGTTCCCTTTTCCTGATCCGGGTTAAGAAAGACGCTCAACCGCTAATGCATGATAAAAAGCTACAAAATAAGATGATCCCCATCATGGACAGGAGAAAGAGATATTGGTAGGAAATCGCTTAGTACTATAGTATATATGTATAACAAGCTGAGAGCAGCATCCGAGATTCAATTCATAGCGAATCAGAACACCAGAAACAGCCTGAGGTAATGATTTGCAACAGATTAACCTCCGCTACTCCGCTCCGAAGACGCAGAACACCTCGAATGGCTACCGAGAGGATACCCCGGCCCCAGCGCCATCAGCTTATGCACACACTGATGGTCTGTTCCCAGTCTCTGCAGATCAAGTTGGGGACGTACGAGGTCCCCACTGCGCACCGTCTTCCACCGCGCCCGAGGTATCCGTCTGAGCCCACGGGGCCGCCTGCCCCAGCAGCACCACAACAAGTGGCCGTCGCCCTCGGTCATCATCTCCAGGTCGCAGAGGGTGCTGTGCAGCATGCGCAGGTTCTGGGTGCCGCAGTCGTCATCCTCGACGCGGTCATGGTCGTAGTAGACGAGCCGCTTGTAGTACTCGCGGTAGGGCTCGGCGATCATCTCCATGCGCCAGAGCGGGTACTGGTTGTCGGCGTATTGGGCGAGCGAGGGGTCGCGCTGGCGGGAGCCTTGCTCGTACCGGCGGAGGAACAACAAGAAGTCGATCCAGAATTTGAACGACCAGTACCCGGCGGAGTCGCGGCAGGCCAGCATGATGAAGGCCTCGACGTACTTGGGGAAGGTCAGGACCGTGACGGGCAGCTTCTCGGCCAGGGGCAGGTAGCTGCGCAGCCCCGGCTTGGGGAATCTCCGCGCCATGTAGTAGGAGTCGCGCGCGACGACCGCACCGATGGGCGGATCCGGGTACATCCACAGCAGCGACGACTTCTTGTATAGGTCGAGCGAGGTGGAGATTGGCAGGGCGTCCATTTGGTCGACGGTGGGGTACTTGGTAGAGTGGAAGTGGTAGTCGGCGAGTGGGCGCAGGAACTGCTTGTCGCGGACGGCACAATCCCGCCGGAGTTTGCAGGAGGGCAATTTGAATTTCTGCTTGAGGAGCTGGACGGCGCGGTTGAAGTGGTTGTCCGGGATGACCCAGCTGCTTGTGTTGTAGTCAGGGTCCCTGGAATCGATGCTGGGGGCCAGCAAGTAGACATAGGGGATGTCGTTGTTCATGAACAGCTGGGCCACCTGGCCCTGCTCGCGTTCTGTCAGCCCGTCGCGCGGTGGAGGGGGTGGGTAGTGAAGGCTCATTGGGGGCATGACTCTTGGGGTTGTAGCTTAGAAGCTTCGAAAGACCACTTCCCACAGGCATTTGAACCCTACAAACTAACAATGGGACAATGAAGATATTTATAAGCCATCGCTGGTTGGGAGCTGGGTAAACGATCTCCGCTGATATCTTTGGACGCCTGGAACTGCTGGTATCAAAGATTTCTGACGGGAAATCGCATCAAATCCGTGAAAGAGTTGCGGTGTGCTGGCATTGTCTATCCTTTGGGCGCCAAACTTCAGCTCTACATGCGGGTATCTGATCGAGTGCCATGAATGCCATGAAAGAAATCACTGAGTTGGGGGTTGAGCTTATTCTGTGGCCAACAACTCGCTGTCTGGTACCATTCTACTCTCTGGTACTGTAGTCGTAATTTCGACTCTTGTTTTATGCTGCCATGATACCAGCCACTTTGACTATGTGAAGCTTGCCCACGTGTATGGTTGCGCTGCCTCGTGTGAAGCGGTAGAGATATTTAGAAGCGACATTGAACAAAGCTAACCGGCCGTCTACATCATACAGAGCACTTATGATCCCAATCAAGCTTGAGCCATCACTGAGCTCGGACGGATTGACTATTGCGTCTACTCTGCCGGGGTAACCTTCTTCTTCCTTTCTTCAATATAAACTGAACTAGGCTGCGGATTGCCGGTAACTCACCCTCCCCGACCGCGAACCTCAACCCAGAGGCATTCAATCAGATAGACTCCCATCCCGTCCTCGAAGCGTGGTATGTATGCTTCGTGGGTTCTTCGGATGCAGTGGGACGCGAATACGAGTTCCGTGAACAGCACATTCTAGCCCTACCCCGACAGTTGAGAAATTAGTCGGTAATCTCATCGAGCGAAGAAGCAACCTTCCTTACATTCTGCCGTCCCCGCGGAAGGCGCAGAGAAGACAATGGGATTGGACGACGAAAGATATGTCATTTGACCTCCCGACCATTTAACAAAAAGTAGCAACCGTGAATCTCTTGGATCGGCTGATTAAATCGATTGTGCGATGTTTGCTGCCCCATGTGTGACAGAGAATCATGAGGTACTTACTGTAAGATATCATCCGGACGCTGGGTAACGCTGGAGTAAACACTGGGGGACATTGTGAGAGTGTCACACGAATCCGGAGACCAATCGCAATGGATTGTGACTGGATTTATGCTCAGTTTCTGTGCCTCTCCCACCTCTACTTCGGTCGAAACCAAGACGTAAGAAGGCACCCAAGCAGTAACTAACTGCCTCTTCTGAGAAGCTAATACTTCAAAAAGCTTCGAGAATGCTAGATTTCGTCCGCATAATGAGACTGGCAGTCCAACAACCATCATTGAAGCAATACATAGCATTTATCTGCACCGACCACATCCCAGGACTTCCCGCCCACCCACCTCAACGAGCTTAACCATAAGTACACACAGCGGTTACACGCAGCGCACATCAATCCCCGTTTTCCGGGGGCGGGAAATGCTTGCGCAGCATCTCGTCCACAAACAACCACACCGCTGCCGAGTCATGCGAGTTGAATGTCGCAGACATATAATACGTATTGCGATGACCCTGCAACTCATTGAGATCCCGATAAAAGCCCGCGCGAATTGCCTCCGCCGGGACCGTCAGTAAGAAGGGGGTGTGGTCGGAATATGCCGCAAACTGCGGAGGCTCGACGGGAATCCCCGCGTGGCGCAGTTGCAGCACGCTCTGAGTGATATGACGCTTCACGTCTTCTTCGCTGATATGATCCACGCTGCCGTAGAGGATGGAGGTCAGGTTGGGGGACCGGACGGGTCTCAGGGCGTAGACCGCCGGCTGGGGCGGGAGGTGGTATACGGTATCGAGGGCCCGATTCAGGATCAGTGCGCCGGGGGGGAGGCCCGGAACGTGCGCGACACAGGTATAGTAGCAGGTGTGGTGGAATTGACTGAACAGGTCATGCTCGGTGGCGTCGAGGTCAATCATGGGGTCCAGATTCTCGACCGTGGGCTGGATCGCCACAATCAGCTTCTTCGCGCGGATCATCTGCTCGCCTGTCGGGGTCTGCGTCTGCACGTACACCCAGTCCGCGTCCTCGTCGCGATGGGTGGCCAGCACGGTGCTTCGGAGGCGGAGGTCGCTTCCAAGTCGCCGTTGCGCCGCCCCGTAGAGGTCACTGTTATTCTGGCTGGCTGGTTCTAGAAACCCACCGACCGCATCGCGCATCACGTCCAGACTGAAGTACTTCATCATGTATAACGTCAGTTGCTGCAGTATGTCGCCCACACCTTGGTTGAAGAGGGCAATGATGTCGACCGCCCCATCCAGGTTGTACTTTCGGATGAACTCGCCAAAGGGGAGAAGGAGGTCTTCTGGGACCGGATCTGGCAGGTTGAAGCCGGTGTTGAGATAGGGATATTTCAGTAGTTGGACCGCGTATGCCGCCAACGCGGGGATGGTGGTTCCGTCTGAGAACGGCACAGTGGTGCCCGTGCGAAGATCGATGCGGCGCAGGACGCCTTGATTGAGCGCAGAGACCTTCCTGACCGACACGTTGAGTTGGGCGAAGTAGTCTCGGACCCATGGTTGATCTTCGAAGTACAGCACTCCAAAATCTGAGGCGATTCCTGTGGTGGGATCGGTGTAGGTATTGGTGTGGCCTCCCAAATGGTCCTCGTTTTCGATGACAACCACCGTCTGGCCCATCTGTCGTAAGCGGATGGCTGCATACGTTCCGGCGGAGCCACCGCCGATGATGGCAACATCTCTGGTGATGGTTTCTGGCTGGTCGGATCGGGGGGAGTGAGATTGTCCAGATGCACTCAGGATGACGATGGCGGCCTCAAGCCATAATGCGGCTAGAAGAATTACAGTGTGCAGGCACCAATGCAAGATCCGCATCGTGTTTGTAGGAGCGAATCAAGGTGTCAAGCAACTGATAGGAAGCTCTCTTAGGGCTGGGACGACGGCCTATATACCCCCCCCAGAAGCAGGGATTACTATGCTGGTGCGACTTGCCACGGACCATTTACTCACTCACCATGTGATATATAGTATGTACCCTGGACCACCCGCCATATGACCTATCTCTTGGGTTCAGTTTTTTTTGCCCATACTTGGACGGTTATGTTTATCCTTCTGGGATGAAATACGAGGAAGCCTGTTGTTACTGATGTTACAGACAGTTGGGTTGCATAGAAGGTCATCTGGAACAAGCACAAACTCTAGCGCCATGGACCTGGAAGAGCTAAACACCAACCAGGCCACCTCGAATTCAAATCTCATACTTATATTCTTGTGTTTTAGCGAATGCAACTTTGGTCATCGATGATGAAAACTGACCAACCGTGTCAAAATACCCCGATAAGCCTCAGTGAAAGACAGCAAACGCCTCTGCAAGATGGCCCTCACAGTTCACGTTCCAGATCCAATGCACGCATCCCCCAATAGTACAGACCTGCCCGCCTCCATGATACTGTACGTCCCGCGCCGGAGGATGGTCGACCCTGACGCGGGTCAGATGTCCCGAGTTGCGCATCCGCGACAGAATAGCCTGGACATCCTTTCCCCAGCCCGCAAAGTCGGGCAGCATGTGCTCCTTCCTTGTCCCCTGGCAGCACCCACGGCGACCCATGTTCCTACACGCCGCTTTCCTTGGTGCGGAAGGGCTACGACGTGCATCGTCCGTCCCTTCGCAATAGGGAAGGTCAACACATGTCCGCCATACCCCTAGTGAAAAAGTTTTGTTGCGCGCGCTGAATCGGTGCTCTCTGGGCAGATTGGAGATTCGGATTTCGCGGAGAGGATTTGTGAATGGAATCGAGAATCAGAACAAAATGCATACGGTAGTTGTCAGTTACCTCGCTACGCCAGCTACTGTACAACGCCAAAAGTTTTTTTAAAATATTAAGAAGGAAAATAATGGTATTCAAAGAAAAAAAGTATCTCTCCAAGCCTCGCGACCCTTCAGTTGGATAGACAAAAAGCGAAGGGCTATTAAACACTAACTAAGTACACTTACTCCCGTGAAAGAAACATCATGGGCAAGAAAACTCTCCGAAGATCAACACGGCAAGTTCAGAAACGAAAGAATCAATGGCTCTCGGCGTGAGCGGTGTCGTTGACCTGACCGGCCTCGTGGCTCTGCTCAGACCCGGAAGCGCCCGAGCTCTCGTTGTCGTAGGCGGAGAAATCGTAGTGGGCGTTCACGCCGGAGTTGTGGTTATCGTAGGTGTTCCAGTTGGAGCTTTGGTCCTTGACGTTGCTGGCGTCGTGGTGGAGGTCCATCTCGCTTCCGTGAGCGGGAGAAGCAGGAGCGGCAGCAGGAGCGGCAGCAGGAGCGGCAGCGGCAGCGGGGGCAGACGCGGGGGCAGGAGCGGACTCGGGCGCGGGGGCAGACGCGGGGGCAGGAGCGGACGCGGGCGCGGGGGCCGGGGCCGGGGCGGCAGCGGGCGCAGATGCAGGTGCAGGGGCCGGAGCGGGGGCGGCCTCGGGGACGGACTCGTAGTGTTGGGCAGGCGCTGGGCTGCTACCGCCCATGTAGACGACCTGGTTGCCGTCGCCGTCGCCGCTGTTGCCGCTCTGGCTGTTGCTGTCGCCGCCAATGTCGCCGATGTTGAGGGGCAGGCCACGGCGCGTCTTGAAGCCACCCACCGCGCCAAAAAGCTCTGCGAGCTCGTCCTCGCTCAAGGGTAGGTCACGCCGTCTTTCGGATTGAGCAGAGGAATCCATTGCGCCCCCGGCGGCCTTCTTAACGGTCTCCAGGTCGATGGGTAGGTCACCCCGTCTGACGGCTTGACCGGCTGCATCCGTCGCGCCCTTGGCGGCATCTCCAACCTTCGACACACCGCCCTTTTCCTGACCCAGGGTCTTCGTAAGGTCCGTGGCGCCAACGGCAGCCATCACGGGTCCCGATGCGCCGGACGCAGAATTGGCTTGGTCCAAGGCGCTATCACTAGTCGGTCCATCTGTGCCTCCGGTTAGCTCTTCGTTGCGGATCCGAGGGGGAATCCAGATGGGTAGTACTCACTTCCCAGAGGGGCAGCGGCCACCATGCCAGCAGCGGCGAGGAGAGACAAAAGAGCGGAGGTCTTCATCTTGAAGGCTTGGAAGTTGGATTTTTTGGGGGGGGGTTGGTGGGTAGAAAAGAGTGGAAGGAGAAGCTGGCTTGATGTTGATGGAGAACAGACGATAGCCCGGGTTGGACGGTGGCTTTATACATTTTCCATCCTATGCAGAAGATGTCGGATTGGGTGCGACTGTGACATGTATGACAGATCTATTCTTGGTTGGTGGGAATTAGCGAAGTCAATTTTGTGATTGTGCTCATGATCAAGGGGAGTGATTGCTGGACCCCCATCGTGAAAAGCCAGTGTCCGCAATAGTGTGGCACCAGGGGGGGAGCTGCACACTGGTTCTCCATCTCGGGGTGCCTGCTTTTCCCCTGGCAGCATAGTGGACAAGTCGCATGCTCGGAGCCTCGGGATCAAAGTGACATGTCCGATCAAGGTCAATGTCTGCGGCGATCATCGTTCCTCTCGGCATTGGCGCCAACTGAAGCGATGATGCCCCTGTGCCGATCTGGATTGACGGTGGGTTTTCGTTCTCTACGAGCGTGCATGCAGGGTCTGGCGCCCGCAAGGGGGGAGGGGGCGAGGGCGAGCCCGTAGCATGGGTACATGAACTCCTGCCGATTTCTGCCCCGGTTGGAAGTGTTTGTGAGAGATGTCATACACTTTACACAATAGTTGAACTCTCTCATACAGGTGGCTGGCTGTTCGGATGGACAACCGATAGCGTCTGTCTAGTGCGATTTGGGGATGTGATATGAGCTCAGACCTGCTTCATCTGTTCGGGGCGCATCAGTATAGAGGTTGTCATGCGGGGTGTCATACGGGGTTGTCAACTTGAGCCAAGAGTTCGTTTTGTAGTTCTTTGGAAGTGAGACTTCGCTCTGGCCCTCGGAGTTGATTGAGCCTCCTGGACTGTGATCTGCAGGGATAGGTTCTGCTCTGGACTTCTGCTCTGGACTTACCGTGAAGAGTCAGGCAAGAAAAGCGAGCTGAATTACCTGGTGGTGCGCGATCTGCAGAAAGCCAAAACAGAATCATTGAAGACGAGCTGAAACAGAAGCAAATCCATTTTCGTTTCTCTGTCCTCAAAAGTAGTGTACAGTAGTCAGATATGGAACCCATATCCCTTAGATATTTTCCCATTTACATCAGTGTTGGTCATCAGTCATAAGTCATCCTCCGACTTTTCAATCATCCTTCACTTCTTGATCATCTTCCGATTTGTCAACCCCTTCTTCCGCGTCATCAAGACGGCGTCTCCAGACACACGCTAATCCCGGGCCATCGAGGTCAAGGTCAGCTTCGCACCTGTGTCGAATAGCAATCGAGTGAAACGTCTCAGATATCGTCCCACAGAGTGCCCTGGCCATGCCGGACGGTGATTTCTTCAGTGATGCGAATGTTTCTGGGGGGGTGAATGTACATCAGAGTACGAGGGCTGCCGCGGCGGGCTGCCTCGAGACTCCCCAAGTCGGCGTAAGCAACGCTGTGCCGAAGCCCGTGGTGCATGTTGTCTGACAGGGCGGGTCGACGAGCCCCCTCTTCGTCATAGGCAGGAAACTCCTCGTGGGTCTCGTTGCGGGTATTGGCTGGATTGTGGGAAAGGACGTCCTGGCATCGTGGACTGCCCCCAATACTGTAAAGGGCAATCTTATTGTTATTGCCGTCGTCGATGAAACGGTGGCTACTCGTCGGCTGGAAGAACCGAGCCCAGAGGGACCGAAGCAGCGGAGGGAATGAAGGCATGCAGGCTGCAAGAAAGTAGACTCCCGGCTCAATCTCAGTCCACATATTCAGAGGTACAGCCATCCAGGTGTTGTCCACTTGCCCCACATTATTGTAGGAAATCGCGAAACGACAGCACGAAGTGACCAAGCCGCTGTGGAAGGAGGAAGTACAACCATGTGGTTAGCTCACGGTTCCATGGTAAGTCCCGTTGCTCAAGTCAACAAGTAGGGCGAGGAAGAATTATTCACGTACATTCCGCCAGTGGCGAATATTATGCCAAGTCCGATCTTCTGGTATCGCGACATCTGCAGTCGACTGACCATCGGCAGAGGAAGCACGAGCATTGCCACGTCGGAGAGGATGTTGGGGAACGACATCCATCGATAGAATGCCTGCAAGTTGAAGCAGTGATCTTTGGTTGAAGGAAATGGATGCATCTGGTAGGCCACGGGCCAACAGGCAAAGGTGTGAGCAAAAGCAACGGCCACATAGGTGGATCCAACGAAAAGCATGAGGCCATAAGTCAGAATCCGCTCGGTTCGAAGTCTAAAGAAACGAAGGTAAAAGTTGAGGATGGCCAGCTTTGGAGAAGCTATAGCCAGCCCCCAAACCCAGATTCCGCTGAATATTCCTTTCTGGTAGTTGACCAGTTTCCACGGTGCTTCTGCCATGACCTTTTGGATGTGATATCCGACGCCGGCCCTAGGAATCAAAACTGTGCACCATGTTAGGTTGTCATCAATTCTTGTTCTACCAGTCTCCCAGTCACAGATCGATGAAGCGATGAACACGCGTCTAATGGTATCGGTCGCGCTGTGACAGACCCATCCTGAAGATCTCAGACTTACCAATTCCAGAAATACAGACACACAGATTGGCCAAGAGCGCTGGAATCATCAGCCAGTCCTCAACACCCCACTTTCTTTTCTGCATTTGAAGAACATAAAACCGAACAGCTGCGAATACAAGCTCGAGAATGATGAAAGAAGTGGCGAGAATGATCAACTTTTCACCGCAGAACTCATCAAGGTATCCTGGAGGATACTGCTTTGGAGGAGGAGAAGACATTGTTGACGGTAATATCGACCCCAAGAAAAGATCTGCAGCAGTCTGTACGTTTCAAGAATACGACGAGTAAGCAATGACCTTGGCAAGACTTTTCGGGTGCAGTGATGGAGAAAGAAGGAAGTCAGGTACGAGGTGGGTGTTCGAAACTGTGTTCGAGAGGTGCTTGGTGAGGTGTTCGATGAAGTTGTTCGATAGACGTGTTCGCCAGGCCATAAGTCGAGACATCAACACTGAAGAAGGACTCACCTCAGTGAGATTTCACTTCACATGAGATTGTTTTTACTCCCACTCGTCTTGGTCTACTTTCAGCTAGATATTCTCCCAGGCACGGGGCAGCACGACCGTCGATGGGATTTTAACCTGTCGAACATGTCAGGATGTCTGGCTGATGGTCGAAAAGCCAGTTTGTATTCCACGAGAAACTCATTCACTACAGTCTTATCTTACAACGTCAACTCAGCCACAAGCAGCAGCATTTGATGAAAACTCCCACTAAGACCTTTAGTCCAGCAACCAGCACCCACATTTTTGTTTCGGTAAGTTGACATGCACGCGTTGACATATACCCGAAATTCGAACACAAATTCTGATTCATACCTCCTACCTTACCACCTTCCTCATGAAATCTGCTGTATGCACCACCTCCTTCCCCGTAGGCGTCCAGTCCGTATACCTTGGCTCGGTCTTCCATCGCACATACCCGCATACTACTCGGGGACAGGCAGCCTTATCTGGACGCGAAACCATTTGGTTGACTGCGTCGCAGCCTTTGCTGACCGCATTGAGGGTCACGTATTTTCATCGCGAGTCCTGACGTGTCTGCTCTTCAACTAGACCCATGGCTCGCGGGCCCAGCCCTCCGGGCCGGTACTCTGGCAGGATGAAGCATGATTGAATGATGAGGTTGTAATTGGCGTAGGCGTCGCGTGAAATTTCTCACGTGTGTCGATTTTCATGCTGTGGGAGCACTCATTGTTACTTGCCCTGTCGCTGTGGGATCGGGGCGAAGTGATGTCGATCCCGAAGAAGACTTTGAGGGCCCCTTGTTCAGTGCATCAGGCGCTGAGAACGTCCTCCGTGGGCCCAGCCGGATATTGTGCGTTGCTTCTGGTGAGCGCCGTGGTCGAATTGGTTATGGAGAGCTATGGGGTTGAAAGTGATGGCGTAGTCTGGGATGGTGATTGGTGGACTTGTTCTTGGATCAACTAAGATGGGATATGGTCTTTCGGGTCTGTAAGTAATAGTATGTTCTGATGGTACTTATATATAAATGAGACGTCTCTTTTGTAGATTGGATCATATCAATTAGTACTTCTGAGGAATGTGGTGATGCAAGCATTTGAGGATATCATTGTAAGTAAATCGTGGACCTCGTGATATATCTACATGCCACAATGCCAGATGCTCTGACCGGGATGAGCCATTAGTAACAGCAGATGAAGTTGACTACAGACACTACCTAGTCTTGAGAGAACACCAAACTTACCACATCGAAGGTTGGTCCAGACTTTTCTCTCTCCCAGTTGCGCTGCCGCCACCATGAGGTACAGCCAGTAGTATTCATTATTCGCGAAACCTAATTCCAAGGCAAGGCATCAAGGCAGCAGGAGCTTATCGGCTCCGATAAGCAAGAAAGCAAGAAAGCACTCCTTATCGCGAACTTGAAGCTTTTACCAACCCGAGCCGCCGCCGACCAAGAGTTTCGCACATCTCTCTTCAAAAATGAACTGAAATTAAGCTCGAGATTTGCTACCCAGAAATCCCATCTCAAATATGATAGAGAACCCATCCCGTTCAAAAGTCATACTGTCATGTAAAAATTCACGCAAACACACCCAACCCCACCAATCCGCCCAGCAGAGGGAACACCGACCGGACGGCGTTCAACCACGTCCACTTCCACAGCAACCCTTCCACCTCGGCGTCCGCCTCCGCGGTCCAGGCCTCTTCCGCCCGGTGCTGGGCCCACTGCGTCAGCCGGTCATTGGTCTTCTTCATGAACACTATAGTGAATGGCACAATCCCCAACGTCAACGCCCCCGCGAGGCAGTAGACCTGGGAGCTGTTGCGCGCGGTGATTAGGCTCAATGGCGTACTCTCCCGCACACTCCAGGCCAGATAGAAGAAGGTGGCGGCGGTACAGAGGCCGATGGACGGGGCGCGCTGAGCGCCATACGTATAGATGGTGCGCCATTGCTTGACGACGCTGGAGAGGGGGATATTTTCGGTGTGGTGGGTTTCGATAAGGGGGGGCATGCCCATGAGACTGAGGGAGAAGATGTTTCCTGATCGGTTCGTTCCTAGGATTAGTGTCCGGTTGTGACGGTGTTGGGGGAGGAGGAGACGGAGGGAAGGCAGTTACCGGATAACCAAGCGGCGCCCGTAAGGCCCACGGCTTGGGCAATTGCGAAGCTAGAAGCCGAGGGACTCATTGTGGTAGTTCAGGGTGTATCCGTCGTCTCGTTCTACCTCTGCGGAAACAAGGCAGGTTACAAGGTCGATTGTATGGGAAAGAAAAGAAGATCTCCGGCAGATGCGGAGGGCCGGTTTCTCTTTATAGCTGATAGCAACAGTGAATCCATGACGACATGCTTAAAGCTTATGGTCGGACACGGAAGAGAATTTTGAAGCTTATCCTGCAAAGGTGGGACCACAATCCATGAGAAACGGCTGTCAGACTGTTTGCGGCTCCTTGGGCTGAGGATTAGGAATGTGTTTGGACTTGGGAGGGATTTGGCCCCGCGGAGGCGTGGCTGGCTCGGGCTTTGCGGGTTTTGGAGCGGGCGCTGCATTCCAAGTTGTCCGACGGTGATTCATCGCTACATCGGCCGTGGTTCTTCCCCCTTCAAAGTGATTGCTGGATCTATCAGATGCTGCTAAACAGAATCTGGCAGACTTGTCTTCTGATTGCATGAATACAACGAGTGATCCATAAGTTGCAAGACTGCGGAAGACAGCTCCTCTGCTATACTCTTAACGCTGAAGCTGCCAGGTGGTGGATTCCTGCCACTTGGGCAGCGCAGCCAAACACTTGACAATGATACAATATCGAGAGTAGAGTAAGAGTTATGTCTGAGGGTCAATACAAAGTAATTCTCTATCATGTCTTTCCTTCATGCCCTAGAAGAAAAGACCTTAGTTGCCATGGCACATCTCCGTGCGTTGAATACTTCTCAAAATACAGATTGATTAGCTTCGACCGTAGCCATTGGAAACCAACAGGACAATCTCAATTATGAGAGAAGCTTGGTCGCTTGCATCTCAAGGTTCGACGAGGTTGTCTCTTTCTGCTCCGCATCTCAGCCTAAGCGCCAGGCACGGAAACCACCGCGCCAACATTCCGCTCGGGATGCGGAAGATCATGGAATCCATGTAAGGATACGAAGATGTGTGACATGATGTGAGTTACGTCTACCTTAGTTCAACTCCCTATCTCAACTCAACCCACGATATAGGCAACCATACGATGGTGATAATCATCTTCCCCTTTCCTATCGAGATACTCTGCTTACCGTACTTCTTTAGCATTGTCTACCTCGACTCGCCGGTCGAGCCATCCGCTCAAGTGTCGCGACGCGCCTGTTCCCCCCGCTCGGACCCCGAAACATGGCCACCGCGTCGGTTACAGTCCACGTCCAGGGGCCAGGGGAGGAATCGGATCCCAACCATCGTCAGAAGCTTGCCTCGCAGCTGCCTCTGATTCCACGAGACTCCGACACCCTCATCATTCAAGATGACACACCTTCGGATATAGAGTGGGCCATTCTGGGCCATCACTTCTCCCGTGTTCGCGACCTCGAGATTCACACTGGTTTCCATGAGGATCTTAACGACAAACATATTCCCCTTCACTGGCCCCTCTCTCGACTGCTGATCAGCTCCGCTTGCGGTGTACTCACCCGCACTCCCTTCATCCGCCAAGGGCGAATCTCTCATCTGATCCTTGACTACACCAGTGGTCTTCGTTTCGAGGGGCCAGACAACGACGAACTGGTACGGAGACACAAGGATGCCAGCGCGCGTGGCGAGGCCAAGACAGAATACATTACGTGTCACGAAGGCACGCCTGAAGAAAAGAAGATCGAGCTTATCGTCATCCCAGAATTAGCCCAAAACTGGTTGAACGCGAAATACGGAGGAGAGGGTTGCAACGAGCTAGATCCCGAGAACTTGCCACCCACAGAACATGCCGTCAACCTTAAGACGCTGGAGGTCATCGAAAACGCGATGGAAACCGTAGCCTGCATGGCACTGGCCCTGCCGCACGTCGTCTTTAACGCTTCGACGTTGCACATAAGCTCCACGTATCCTGGCTGTGATTTCCAGAAGCTCCACGAGAGCAACTTCCTGCAGCTTCTGCGACAAATGGACAATCTGGAGACATTGCAACTCTCGGTCGGGGAGGTGTTCCAGGAGGAGTCTCACCTGCTGGGATTGTATAAGGAGCTCCCCCGGAGTCTGACGACGTTGCGCTTGCGCGGACCGGCGATGTTGACGCAGCGTGAGGAGTGGAAGGAGTGGGAAGGCGCGTTCGCATCCCAAACGTTCTTCCCGAAGTTGGAGAAGCTGTCGATTGAGATGGATCTCTATTATGTTGATAGAGACGACGGATGGCGTCGGAAAGAGAAAGCTGAGCTGCCAGAAGAACTGCGGATTGCAGCAAACGCCGCGTGTGAGCGACTTTGCGCCATCGCGCGCAGTCGGGGGGTCATCGTAGAAACCATGCAGGACTGGAAGCGAGTGTGCGAGTGAGTTTCGTCGTCCGCGATTTAGGGGCTGTCCAACGACGAGCACTGTTGTGCTGACATTGCTTGTGTTGATGCTGGACGACGGGGTCGGGGTTCAAACCTGACTTGGAGTTTATTTGTAAGATTAGAAGAAAGAATTGATACCCCACTCTTGATTTGTCGCATCGTTCGGAGCTCAAGGTTGATCGACCGAGGAATCAGTCGTTGACACCACCCAAACACTGAGTGAATGTTTGTCGTACTCGTATAAACCCTACTCTTAGGGAGGTACCTGACCAGGGAAAAACCCACGGAACGGGATCGGTCGTATCCGTATCCCGACCCCTAAACAGTCATCGGCAGCGGCGGGGCCTACGATCTCCGGTTCAGCCCAGTCCATCTTCCTCCTGGAACTCCGTACGTAAGAGCAGCCCCCAAAAAAAGAAATTGGGTTCTTGGCTGGCCCAGTCACCCAAGAAGAAACAAAAGAAGCCTTGCACAAATACATACTTGCAGGATTATCACTAACTTAATGCAGCGAGTCGGTACAGTAGTCCCGGCCGCGCAATGACCGTGCGGAACAAGGCTGAATGTACATACGAATACGATGACAGCAACAACGATGAATCGTGGTGGGGGTTTAAAGTCTCCAAGGGCTGCTCTGGGAGGTCCAGCTCTGATGGTTAAGATCCTCACTCAGTAGCAAATATCGAACAACATGAGCATACCGGACAGCGACACGGAGAGTACAGTCTCCAGTCAGACTAGGTAGTTATTGACCGATCTTGAAAACTACTGTATAGATGCAGATCTCTAATCGAGCTTAACGCAACAACCTGCAGACCTACTACTGCGACCACCACCAAGTCGCATCATCAACATCAGGTCTTTCCTTTCGCATATCCACCGCCCAAATCCACCTCGTGTCTTCGCTTCACCTCACGCCTCCTACTCCAAATCCAACAACTCCTGTCCGCCTCTCGCGCGCTTCCTGTCCTCGAGGTCTACCGACCCTCTAGCCTCGGCAAATCCATCTCCGGCTGCCCCAGCAAACTCCATAGCCAGGACCTCTACGTTGTGCAAAGCGACTCCTATCAAACCCTCGCCTCTTCGTACAATAGTAACCACGAACCCACCTCCACCAACGCCGTGGTAGGCGTGATCTACACCAACTACACCTTGCCCTGCAGGAGCAACAACAACAACCACAACACTAGTAGCGCTACTAGCAGTGGAAGCGTCTCCACCACCACCACCGATCACAAATCCCAACCCACATCATCACCCTCGACCACATCAACATCCTCATCTAGCAACAACGCAATCCACTTCCCTCAACTCCAAATCACCTTCCTCGCCGCCCGCACCTCCCGCGGCGGTTATATCTTCCACTTCCTCCCCACCTCATCCTCATCTTCGCCCACAACAACGACAAACACAAAACGACTCACTCTCGAACTCGCCAAGAAAAAACCCAAGCGCAAATCCACCCCGCCAAGATCCTCGGCATCTCCCACCCCCGACGACGAGGACGACGACGACAACGCAATCCACGAGCACCCACCCCCGACGGAAACCACCCCGGAACCGGCGAGTTTCCTCCTCGGCCTTCGGGGCAACAGCTCGGACATCTCCGCACCGCCGCCGCGCTCTCGGCCGTGGCTGGCTAGACTCTCGCACAAAGGGATTAAGGTTCTTCAGGGCGAGCAACAGGATCACCAGCGACGGCGGTTGTTGGCCGAGCTTGGGCTGGCGGAGAATAGTCCGCATAACGAGATAGATGTACTCTATACGCTTGTTTTGATGATGGGGGTTTATGCTGCGAAAATGGAGGGGTGGGCTTGAGTTTTTTTTTTTTTTTTCCTTATTTTTTTGTTTTGTTTTTCTCTTTTTTCTTTATGATCGATACAGTTTTCGGTCCTAGTGTTGAGGGGTTCCTTGATCATTAATCCCTTGATAATTTTCACAAGGACTGTTTGGATCTTGGGGGATTGAAGCCTGGCGTTTTTCGGGATCGGTTTTTTTGGGGGAGGGG